TACTAGTAGATAACTATCCTATCTACGTACCTACCTACCTCGATTCGGCTATCCGGTCAGCGCAATTGACCGGCCGTGCAACAAGTAAATATCCTCGTCGTTGTCCATCTCCACTTCCCCCCATCCCCCATCACCGCCCCCTGTTCCTCCGCGGGTAATTCTGACGGACTGCTACATGAATCCACAACACTTGTTGTGTCTTATTTTTTCTTCTTCTTCTCTATTTTTTGTCTTCCTTGTTTCTCTTGTTGTTGTTGTTGTTGTTGTTGTTTTTTAGGCTTGACTTAGCTACTTATCGACCCAACACACTGGGCGCGGGAAAAAAAAACCTGTTTTCGTCGATCTAGACCGTTTAGAACGGCCTTTGCTATGTCTGTGTGGGTGTCGTGGATCATTTTGCTGAATAACTTTCTTGTACGTGAAACGTGATTCGGCTGCTTTTCGAGTCATGGGCGTATAAGCTTGCAACCCACGTCTCCACCCCCCCCCCCCTTGCCTTTGTGCCACGCACACGCGTGTGTAGATCTCGACAAAGGCTAAATCCCTTTTTGTTCGCTCATTTTTGCCCTTTTTTCTCTTTTCTTTTTTTTCTCTTGTCACACACACTTTGTGTCTCTCTCGCTGTCGAGTCAGCCACGAACTATAAAGAAAGGGTCGTGATATTATTCTTAGTCTTTGTTTGTTTTTATTTCGAGGGACAAGGAAATGATCGAGATCGAGATTGCAGAGGTAAAGAGGAATTATGCATAGTACCACACGACGTGATTGTTTGTCAGAGGGAAAGAATTGACGACGTTGCATCTTGTCCTCTACCTCCCCTGCATGCAGCTAGTTGTAACAGCTGAAGTCGGCTTGTTTTTGTTTTAATTTAGTACACATTATCGTACGATATTGCTGCAATTAGAGTTGTACCTTGAGGTGCTAGTGCGGAGCTTTTTGCTCCGGCTTACTGGCTTTCATAAGATGCCTATACTATGCAATAGTGATGTGCACATGAGTCTCAAGGGCTGATTCATGTACATAATTTATCCGAGGGTCGTGAGTTTGATCCGAGGCAACAGAATACACATCGCAGTAAGGTGTAGTATAGAGGCAGACAGCCAAGTACTATACCAGCAGCTCATACATGATAATCGAACATGTTTTGCATGATGGTATATGAATTATGCTGTTTCCCTACCCAAGTTGTACACAATACTTGTCCTCTTTGATCCGCTCAAGAGTCGCTAACAATCATGAATACACTAATGAATCCGGCTTCACATGCATACAATTCCAAACATCGTATACACGAAAATCTATTACCTGCTGTCTATACACAAACAAAAATAGAATAGCACACTCCTCCCCATGATATCGGTTTACACCCTCCTTCAGCATCTGTTTCTGTTCACACTGTCCAAACATTTGAAAATACAATCACAACACAATCTAAGCACAAAACACCACACCTCAAAGAATGCAAACCATGATGAGCGAGAAGAGAAAATTCCATATTTTCAATGTGTGATAAACATCAATCCCATGTCTAATCGTACATGTAGCGCACTTGATACCTCATATCAAACTAATATACTTCAACGGTAGTCATTCGAGTTGTACGAAGGCCTGTTGCCCTGATGTCCACCACCACCACTGCGGTGTCCACCTCGGCCATTTCTTCCTCCACGGTTTCCTCTATCATCCCTAGGTGGACGATCACTATACGGGTTACTGCCCTGATATCCTCCGCTTCCGCCTCCGCTTCGTCCGAGGAGTTCATCAGCGGGCCGATAGAATCTCTCGTCTCGTAGTGAGCTGTTGTTTGGTGCCTGGCGTGGCGGCGGTGCACCATGTTGCTGGTTTGAGTTGCCCATCCATGCGGGCCGTTGACCGACTGGTGGGATAGGCGGAGCTCCGTAGGGAGGAGCACCGCCTTGCCAACCACCTACACCAGGCGGAGGCACCCATCCTGGAGGTGGGGGAGGGAAAAAATTGGCACCTCCTGGCGGCGGAGGAAAGTTGCCACCGGGAAATGGGGGTGCAAAGTTGGGCGGCGGCGGTGGGTAGCCACCTTGACCACCGTATCCACCTCTGCTATTGTCCCAACTGCCACCTCCACGCCCATTTTGGTGGCCTCCTCGCCCACCGCCGTTCTGGTAGTCGTTACGCATGTTGTCATTGTTGCGGCGATCGTTGTAGCCTCCTCGACCCCCGCCTCCACGGCCGCGGCCACGGAAGCCACCACGCTCGTTAGAGCGTCGTACTGACTCGGCCTCACCAGGATTCAGGGCTGGTTTGGGGAGCTTGACGCCCTCGAGCAGAACAGACTTGTGTGCTCGGCTTGAGGTCACGGTTGGCATTTCATAGTATACCCTACGTGTTGTTAGTCACTAGTTTATCAAGATGAATATTCAATACAACATACCTCATGGAACGGTCCTGTGTAATTTCAAAATCCGTTACGCCATCGGCATCGAATGGTGGCACAAGCTGACTGTCCATGACAAACAGGTCATGCGGCTCGACGTCTCCGTGGAGCGCGCGACTCTTGGCGGGATCGATCCTGTGCTTCTGCTGTCCTTTGCGATACAACGCCTTCTCCACGTCATCGAAAAGGCTACACTCTTGGGAGAACATGAGCGTCTCCTTTCCAAATTCGTTTCGCTTCCTCTCATCGTCAGACAGCTCAGGGTACTTTGTTGCCATGGCGGCGAGCAGTCGGTTCTCGTCAATGAATGGTAAGATGGCGACACCCTGCCAAGCAAACTTTTTACCGTTGAGGTCAATCGGAAAGTCCTCAGGGTAGAAGTCAACGATTGAACTGTTCGGATCCTCCATGAGTATGCGGAACGGTTCGGGAATCGCGTGGTTTGATGCGGCAGGCAAGACGCCCATGAGTTGTTCGTAAGGATGGAAAGGCTTGCCCTTCTCAAATAGTTTGCGGGGATCCATGTCTTCGAGACCAACAAAGTCTGCAGCGAATGGAGCATAGTGGTGAGGGAAATACCAAGTCCATGAAGGACAGCCTTGCATATAGTAGGCCAGCACCCAACAGAGACCTTCAGCGTACTGACGTGCGACCTTGTTGCGAAAGGCTATGTCGTTGGGAGCAACACCAAACTTCTGCTCGTAGTAGCGTTCCTCGTAGCCATCCTCCCAAAGCCTGATGGTGTCTTCTGGGGTGCCATCTCCGTTTTTCTTTGGAGACCCAGGAACGATTGGCGTATTGCGCCCAGGCGTTCCGTTGTCGGCATCTTCTATGTCATCTGCTTTGCGCTTTCCAAGGTGAACTGGTGTGTCAGTACCAGAGGCAGATTCTGAAACAGGCTCAGAAGCCGGGGTCGGCTCAGGCTCGGGGACAGATGTGCCATCGGCCTTGGCCTTCATGAGCTCCTTGAGCTTGGCCGCAGCACTTTTGTTGGCTTGGGCGTCGCGTGTATGCATGATGTCTTTATGGACATCGCGTACCTCCTTCGACTGGGCCTGCTTGGGGTCAAAGAACACAATACCTGCGCTCGTGTAGGTGTCTGTAGTCTCCTTTGCACGCTTGAATCCTGGTGCTGAAAGGCCATTTTCATCGGTGCGTTGACGTTTGTTCTGGGCTTCGCGTCGAGCCCTGTTAGCGGCCTGACGGTCTTGAACTTCCTTGCGCTTCTTGAAAATACCAGCCTCTCGGATGGCAAGAGCAGAGAGAATCTGTTGCACGCGGCGCATGTCAGGAAATCCGTCCTTGGTCACATAGTCATCCATTTCAGCGGCGAGATCTCGCCAGATGCTAATGAGTAAGTCGATACCCTGGTCGCGAATTTCAAGACTAGGCAAGTGTGGCAAGAAATCGTTACCAACGAAGAAACACATGAAGACCCAATCATCCAGTGAGCGCTCAAGGTCATACTTGAAGGTGCGCTTGGGCGTGTCCATTTCGACAGCCAGATACTCTCGCAAGATGTTGGTGTGCAGCCAGATGAAAGGCTTGAGCTGGTGCTCTGACGTAGCCCATTCTTCCTCAGCCTCTTCTTCGGTGAGCTTCTTGCCATCATCAGGGAATTCACAATTGGTGCGGATATGGCCCTTGCGCCCACAGCGCGTGCAGACCTTGTCCTTACCCGAGTCGTAGAAGACGTCTTCTCTGAGAACACGGAAATAAGGCTCGTGAGTAGCAAGACTCAGCATAATCAAATCGGCGTCCAAGCCGTAGATGACGTGCGAGGTATTGGGGTCATGGGTAGGCATAGCGCGTTGCGAGCGAATGAAGTTCATGATTTTGTGTTCTCCTTCACCAGGCACAGATGCATCGGAAATGATGACTTTCATGTCCTTCCACGAGGGGTCGGTTGTGAACTTGTACGCACACCAGTATTGAAGACTCTCGGCTAGGAGATGCATGAAGGGTGTACCAGGCGTGATTGCATTCGAGTCCCATGTCTTCTCAACGACCTGTTCGAGACTAGTGATGTCCTCGCCGCGGCTGGCTTTCTGCGAGTTGAGGATTTTCTGAAACTCTGCACGCTCCTCGTCCTTTTCCTTTGCCTCTTTGGCTGAGCGGAAGCGACGCGACCGCTGCTGGTTCATCTTGGCACGGGGCGCAACACCGTCGACTGCCATGTAGAGCAGCTTGCGGGGGCGCACCATGCCGAGTACGCGATCAGTGTATTCGAAGATGGCAAGCATCATGTCAGCCTCGGTCTTGGGCGCTGGTTTGTCTTCGGGGTGCGAGCACGGATGCACAATGCCGTTCATGTCGAGATACAGATTGTCGAACTCTTCACCGTTGGGGTTGGGCCCGGTGCGGTCTACGGGTATGACGGCGTCGCCGACCTTTTTGGGCAATTCTTCTTGGACAGTGGACACAATCTTGGGGTATTTCTGGCTGAGCCAGCGAAACATGGCGGGAACACCCATGGCGGCGGTAGGCGCTCAGCGGCGCGCGGTGTACGGGGGGTATGTGAGCGTTGCAGGTAGATGGGTAGGGCGGCGCGGCGACGGCGAAGGCGCGTGTGTATTAGTGCTCTGGAAATGCGGGTAGTAGTGCAGAGGTAGTATGAAGGGTGGAAAGAAAACGCCCGCCGGCGAACAAACGGCCTCTCGTCGTGGTCAAGGGGCGCTGGAAGCGGTATCCAACAGCAGCAGGGCGCCTCGCAATGTCGCAGACTTGTTGGGCGCGCGGTGGCCGGGCTGCGCACGCGAGGGGGAGAGAGACAGGGGGCGAGGGGGAGAGAGACAGGGGGCGAGGGGGAGAGTGATGGTGAAGTGTTGAACAGCGCGCGACGGTCCAAGATTCGCGGCCAAGAGCCGGAGCCGGGGTTTAGCCGACCCTGCGAGCCGGGGCGTGTCTCTGGACGAGCCGCAGCCCGTGCGCCAAATTATACGTGGAGCTCTGATGGTCACTGCAACCAACGGCACCAGCTGGGTGTGGGCTGCATGAGGATGGTTGCCCGTACGCACGTCGACACAAACACTGGCTCCCGCGCAGCTTCGGCCATGAGGTCATAGCCCGTCCAATCCTCCAAGATGATGCGAGTTCTCGAGGCCAACGCGCCTCCCAAGCAGACGGCCACGGATACCATCAGCACCCTGAGCGGGCGGCTGACAAGCGCAACCCTCGTCGAAGACCGGCGCGCTGCCATTCTTGGCCTTCGTAGCTTTGCAAAAGAATACCCCGCCTCGGTCGCATCAGGCGCCCTCAAGGGGCTCATCACGTCGCTGACCAAAGACGGCGATGATGTCGACACGCTCAAGGTGGTGCTGGAGACGCTGCTCATGCTCTTCCACCCAGACGAGAGCAGCCCAGAGGCGTCCGAGGAAATCGCGCTGTGGCTGGCCGACCAATTCTCACAAGTATGTGCTTCCCTTGTGCGTTTTTTCTCGTGCTGAGCTTATAATAGCGACAAGACAACATCACTCTGCTCGTTGACCTTCTTGAGAAACCCGACTTCTACTCCCGTCTGTACTCGCTGCAACTCATTCGCGCCATCTCCCTAGCACGGCCCCAGCGAACACAAGAATGCATCCTCACAGCACCAGGCGGCATTGAGCGCCTGGTCGCCACCCTCGACGACCCACGAGATGCCGTCCGCAACGAAAGCCTGGTCGTGCTCACTGAACTAGCACGCTCATCGTCTGAACTGCAAAAGCTGTTTGTCTTCGAGGATGCCTTTACCAAAATCTTCAACATGATCCATGCCGACGGCGGGCTCACCCAAGGCGGTGTTGTGGTCCAGGACTGCCTGAGTCTACTAGCCACCCTTATCCGCTTCAACGTATCGAATCAGACCAACATCCGCGAAATGGGCCATGTCGCACGATTCGCTGCGTTGCTGCCTGGTGGGAAGAAGCCAAGGAAGGCGCGCACCAGTATGGAAGAGGAAGATGACTGGGTTAGTCCGCAAAGCGACAAGAATATCTGGGGTTTATTGGCCATCATGCGCATGTTTCTTGTCAAAGGAAGCCCAGGCACACTTCAAAACCAGAATGTTTTCCAGCAGCATGGCCTCGTCCGCCAACTTTTAAACATTACTTTCGATCCTGCAACTGCCATGCCCATCAAAATCGAGGCTCTCAACACTTGCGCTGATCTCATCAGGGGTAATGCTCGACTGCAGGAAGGCTTTGCCCAGGAGCAAGTTCGGCCCATTGTCGAGCCCACTGCAAACGGCATGGCCTCTCCCAACAGTATTCCTTCAGTATATGTTATCGAAGCGCTTCTCAACCTGGTGCTCTCCCCCGCACCCAACGATATGTTTGACTTGCGCAATGCCGGCTGCGAGTGCATCAAAGCCTATTTTTACAACCACGTGCAGATTCAAGAACATTTCCTCAACCGAGCCATTGGTGGCCATGAAGGAGGGGATGAGACAGCAAATGCTTTGACTATCTTAATGGCAGGACCCCAGGTTCCTCCCACCGGCGACCCCTACCGGATCTGGTTTGCCGCGACTCTCATATACCATCTCATCTTCGACGATTATCGAGCAAAGAACACCTTGATGGACGTCAGAGAGGGCGATGCAGAAAGCGGCGAGGAGGTTGTGACATGCATTCAGACTTTGACTGCGAATCTCATCGCAAGCCTGCAGCTTGGTGAAGATGAACGCATCTCAGTCGCTTATCTGATGCTTTTGCTCGGCTGGCTCTTCGAGGACGCAGCAGCAGTGGATGACTTTTTAGCAGAAGCCAGTAGCCTACAAAGCCTGGTCCAAGCCGTGCTGACTCCTGGAGATGATCGAGTGTTGATCAGAGGTCTCTGTGCAGCACTGTTGGGCGTCGTGTATGAGTTCTCAACACGTGACTCACCAGTGCCACGGCGAGAACTTCAGCCCGTACTCACTTCAAAGCTTGGTCGCGATAAATATCTTGACGCCATTACGGGACTGCGGCACCATCCTCTTGTTCGTGATTTTGAGGTCCTACCTCGCAACGGCGGTGGTGGCGGCAGTTTGCCTGACGTGTTCTTCGACGAGGCCTTTATAGATTTCCTGAAAGACAACTTCAGTCGGTTATCTCGAGCAATCGATCGAAACCCAAACATCGAGCAGCACCAGTCGCACGATGGTGTGGATCGAGATGTGGTCGACGCATTACGTGGCGAAAGAGATGAGAAAGAGCAGACTATACAAGAACTTCGAGCACAACTCATGACTCTCGAGCAGAAGATAGACCACGAACAGGCTGAGCATCGCAAGACGCAGCAATCGGCCGAGGAGCAACGAATAACACTGAAGCGCATCAACGACAAGCTACACGAGGATCTCGATAAGGAAATTGCGAATAAAGATCGTGAGCACCGACAAGCAATAATGGAGACGGAAAACAAGTACAGTATCCAGATCACTGCACTCAATAACAAGCTACAACAAACGACCAAAGACGCAAACCTCGCCGTTGCAAAGGTCAGACAAGAGTACGACCAAAGGCTACAAGATGCAGGTAGAATACAAGCTGAGCTAGAGAGCCGGCTGGGAGCCTCTGACAAAGCTCGGCAAGAAGCTCTGGAAACAATTCGTAGCCTTGAAGAGACGCTCAAGCAGACACGCAGCGAAGTAGCCACCATTACAGAAACATTGCGCAATGTGCAATTGCATGTACAGAAGAGCGAGGGCCAGCTCAAGCAGCTCCAGGAAGAAAAGGATGCACAAGTGAAGAAACTTGAGGGAGAGCAGGAGGCGCAGGTCAAGCGGTTCACGGAAGAAAAAGAGACACAGCTCAAGCAACTCAAGGAGGAAAAAGAGGCACAGCTCAAACAACTCAAGGAAGAAAAAGAGGTACAGCTCAAACAACTGAAATCGGAGAAGGAAGCCTTGCAGTCAAGCGTAGACAATCTCAAGAAAGAGAATCAGGACCTGAAGACCAAGACACAAGACCAGACATGGAAGGTCAAAGACGCAGAAGAGAAGCTCCGCAAGGCCGAATCAGGTGCAAAGGCCACCAAAGAGAAGGAAATCAAGGATCTACAAGACAAGCTACGCAAAGCCCAAGAGAGCGAGAAGGAGAAGACCACGGAGTTGGAAGATTTGATCATAGTACTCAGTGATCTTGAAGAGAAGAGAAGTAAGGACAAGGTATGTTGCTCCTGGAATATGCGGAATTTCACGGAGAACAATGCTAACAAGTGTAGGAACGTCTCAAAGCTCTTGGGCAAGAAGTGTCGGACGACGAAGAAGATGACGACGATGATGGCGATGAAGACGAAGACGAAGATGAGGATAGTGATGGTGAAGAAGAAGAGGAGAAGAAAAAGTAAGATATCTTTGTTTGCATGGACCTGTAGCTCTGTCACTGTTGGTAGCCTTGGTCGTAGCAAAGTATCTCCAGACGCAACACCAACCAGCACTCTGCAATCCAAATGTGAACATTCAAAGCTGCCAGAATACATGTACTAAGCTCGATTCTAAGACACCGTAAAGTATCTGCACAAAATATGTCTACTAACATGAAGTCACTGACACGTGAAGAATTTCCAAAAGTAATGTTATTTGATAAATATGTATACGTTTTCCTAGCCCCTAGACACACATTCACCTAGCAAGGGCCGCCTCCAGCTTCTGGCGGACAGGTGCAGTATCCAGTCTCTATAATGCAGTTTCCACAGCGGAAGCCATAGCAATCTGTGTCTTGGATGCAGATCATATCGGTGCAGGAAGCTTGTCGTTCGAAGAATTTCTGTATTGTGTAGGACGTCAGGTTAATATATAAGCTGTAAGCATCTCTTCCATGGCAGGACTCACTGCGGCATTGGCGTTGTTGGATGTAGTTGGTAGGGCAACGGCAAGAGGGAGGAGGATAGTGAGTGTTGCAATGACACTGAAGGTCTTCATGATGGTTGATGTACAGGGAATATGTATTCTGTAAATAGAGCAGTAGACTTTATAGTTGAATTGTTGCTCGATGCTTTCCTCCTTGTGTACATGGGCATGCGCTTTTATGTACCTCTTTTGCAGATGCTTTGGTCGTTCACAATCGCAGTCTGACGTTTCGCTGATGAGCCAATGTCTACGAGGTCAGGCTATCGATTGGCCAATGGCGTTTGATCGTCGTTTGGAAGGACACGCGCGAAGGACATGTGTGATGGACACGTGTAAAAGGACATGTCTGGATGGCCCGTATGAGTGTGAGATTGCGCAAGAAAGGACAGTGAAGGACAGGGTAAGCACGGGTGTAGATGGAATTGGCGAATCGGAGGGTGGAAGTAAAGTCATCAGACGGTATAGACATTTGATCGGGTAGAGAAAGCTTTTGAAAGCCGTGGATGCATGATAGTGTTGTACTACATGGCATTTTATGACTGCTCAACGTATGAAATTGGAACTGCAGAGTAATCGGAGGTTGATATAGTACCGAATGCAATATAAATGCGCAGTTCTCATCTCTTGCATCGTGGTCACTTTTTTCACTCAAGACGGGTGTCATCTCAACGGCTTTGTTGGAGTCCAATTACATTGGTTGGTATATTCGATATATTCAAACTCTCGATTTTCTAATCATAACCCAGAAATGAAGTTTTACTGACGTCATATCCTCTCTTGACATACCAGTTATCATCAAAACTGTTCTACATGGACACCGTCGTAGAACCCCTCAGGCAAACCTTCATCGTTTGCCCATGTATTTCCGCGCCCGCAAGATAAACTATTCAAGGCTTTGCATCTTCCCTTGCGGATATGCGTGTCTTTGTTGCTTTTGCGCGTAAAGACCGCAGCGCAAAACGGGCATGATGTTTTATCCGACTGGCTGCGTTCTCGAATATGACGCCTGTAGTTCTCCGATGAAGAAAACCGTCGGCCCTCGCATCCGTGCCGGTAACATCGATAATCGCTGTTGGTGCTTCTGTCGGGCCTGTTGGCGGCAAGCGGTGACGGCTCGCTAGTATCTATGGATCCAATCCGAGGACGCTGGGGGGCATCCAGGCAACATTCCTTTTCGTCAAATCCATCATAACCAGAGATAAAGCTGTTTGTTGGGAATTGCGCAGACGTGAACCAAGCATCTGCTGGAGTGGGAAAGTTTGGCCACTCGCCGGTCGATTGGAACTCATCTATGTTTTGTGGGGTCCTCGTGGCTTGAGAAGCTGTGTATTCTGTTTCAAGATCCCGAAGAAACGACTGTAGCTCAAAGGCTTCGAGTGAGGCTGGGGAATTCCTTGTGGCATAATGGCTCGCTGTTGCGTGGGGTAATACGTTTGATAGCGGTCCTAGTTTTTGAGAACAAGATGTACATAGCTGGTCCATTTTGTTATCGTTACAGCCCAATTGAAGTTCTTGAGAGTCTCTCATATGGTGGGTCAAAGAAGAAATCCAGTTTCCATGTTTTGTACGAGTATTGGTCTATAATTTACTGGATCCTAGAGCTGTTCCGCGGATAGACCCAGGACCGGTTTTGTGTTAAATCCGTAGAATGTAACGTGATCTTGATCGGAGAGCGACATTGCAGTCAACACGGAAGCTGAATGGTGACTTCAAAGCGAAAACATCAATAACAAGTAATCTTTAGGACATGGTGCGAGACCTACCAACTGCAAACGTCTGCTCTGGCCCCAAGGAATGTCAGCCCGTATACGGGTGGGACCGCAAGCATCCAATAGCGCAGAATATTCTCTATTCAGTACTGCTGACAAAATCGCAGATGGACTAACCGGGGGTCGCCTTATTACCGTATGTGGTGGATATGGCGGCAGATGCCGTTCGCTTGCCGTTTTGGAGTGTGCAACTGATCGCCATTGCTCTGGTGGTAGGCCTAAAAGTGGGCTTACTACAAGAGTAATAACGTTGTGTCGAGACTATATGGGTTTCTCGATGTGCCGAAAACAATAGGATGATACTGCAAAACGTGAGATATTTCTTAGCTGGCAAAATAATTGCTCACTGGCCCAATATGCTGCGTAATAGCGCCTAGCGACCATAACTCCACCAAGCGTCCATCTTCGAAGCTTTCGCTATTGAACCCGATTGGATTACAGTGATAACAAGAGTATTTACTAAGACGTATTACTGCGTACTGGGTCCATGGGCCTGTCATTAGCGCTACACTCTGATCCGCAACGCCTCATGATCCACGGGTGTTTCAAGGATGTCCGGCTGTCGGCACGGGAGAAGCTTGCCCCTGATTTCTGACGAGCGATCATGATGTATGCAAGGCTTCCAATGTGTTGTGGACGCCTTAAGATGGATGGTTGTACAACAACGTCATTGTTACATCAGGGAGAGCCACTGTCAGCATGAGCAGTAACTGTGATAGCTACGCGGGTGAGGCTGTCGCTTGGTTGTGAGACAAAACATTTCTTGCGTGCAATTAATTTGTTCCCCATCAGACAGACGCATCAATTGTGGACTCTCTTCGCAGCTGCGAGTAGTCTGTAATAACGTCATAATGATCTACCATGTCCTGCAACTGTCCTTCACCATCCTCCCCTGCCCTTCAAGTTGTAGGCTACAACGTGTCGCCGAGCTTACCACTTGGCAGCCAAAAAGCCTGTCTTGAATTACGAGTACCCCCGCATATGAGACAGGTGACGTCGTTGCCTACGGTATTACTTGGTGATCCTTTAGGGTCGCTAGAATCTGTTGGGCATTTGCGAGCGAAGTAACTTCTCCGACCTTACCAACCTTACACTTGCAGTACACTGGAAAGATTTTTACTACAACAATGACCGAAACTTGGAAGAAGAATATACTGCAGCAGCTTGCAATCGCATATGAAATACGTCAACGGCAGGCGGACCCCTCCCTAGAGCTCGAAGAGTTTCCAAAGCCTGCACCCCCTCAAGTCGACTTGTTACAGATCTACACAGACGTACTAGACGAAAAAGATAGTCCAGGAGCAGCAGCAAAGCGGATCAATGACTGGGTACTTTCAGTGCCAGAAAGTGATACCTACTACGACATATCCGTCGCCTATTACGAAGTTCTCCGCGTTCTGTTCGATGGCGCAAGAGGGCTTTCGTCCAGAAAATACCTTGGTATCCTCGCATATCTTGCAGTCGAACTCGCAAACCTACCCGACGTCTACAACAACAGAGATGAACCAATCGTTATTGAAGGAGGAGTCGTTATTCAACCCGGGCAAAAGATTCAGCTGCCTTGCGAGACAGGAGGGGTACTATGGTCTACACTACCGAATTTTGCTTTGTATATCAGAGACGATCTCCAGGGCGGGCCCCTCAGATTGCGCAAAGCCACTGCAATTGGCCACGGTAACCAGCAACTAGCTTCCGAGCCCGAAGACCGATATACCAACGTCAACACATTTGCTGCTATGATAGCACAGCAAAACCCTCCTCAGGGGTCTCCACTGTGCAGTTGTGTCGACTTTGCTTTTGCAACGTTGGCTTTCTTGGAACACGGCTCTGATACGAATTACGGGCGAGAAGCACACCTTGCAGTTAGAGCAGCGGCTTCTTGGCTGACCATTGCTGGCGCACAAGTAGTGGCTGCAGGCTCGCCTTCAACCAAATATGACTATACTTCTGGAAGTTTGTGGAAGGCCGAGGGCGGTACAAATACAGTGGATGTCAAGAGACTGCAATTCTGGAAGGACAGGTTTCAACAGGTGCGAGATTCTGGCAGACTGGCGAGCCGAGAAGCCGTAGATGCCGTAGAAGAAGCTACGGGAGCCCTGGATAAGTTGATTGCGACTCAAGGTGGAAATAGCTAAGCGAATGAAACATTGAGAAATGACTGGAACTGCTGCTATGGACTACTACATAGCATATGTCGCTTGTAGATATTACACATAGCCACATATTTTCTATAGAAATCAGGAGGTTCAATTTCCACAGTCCGTCTTTCTCACTCACCAGACACATAAGATGCGTGAGCCACAGTGGCACATGAGGTAAACCAGCCCCCAGGTACCTAAAACAGTCCCGATCATACTGGAGAGACATGAGCCTGTCATGCAGTGCGGAGATGGACGACCTGAGAGTCACACGCACAGCCAGACTAAACATCTACACCAACATCCCGCTCACCCGCTCAATACTGCTGTTTTCGTGACAACAAACATAAAGCGCCAATCACTTGCCTCATACAGTGAGTGAGGCTCCCAGCTCAGGATCGGCCGATTGGAACCCGCCAAGCAAAGCTGGGTAATACAAGCCGAAGGACATTGTCGGCCTGAGAGCCGATACGGGGGCCAACTCGAAGGACATGCTTGACGCGAGAACCAGTTTGACACCGCACCGAAGGACAGTGGATACAGACAGGAACGCGGCATGACGATCTTCAAGCATGCAGAAGTCGACGGCTATTAAAACGCTGTGCTCCTCTCCCTTTTCTGCTATACACACACCCAGCACATCAATACCGCTCACTCCAACCATGAAGTTGATTGCCGCTCTCTCCACTTCACTCGCTGCCCTCGCCGCCGCCAATCCGCTGCCCGTTGACTCGGAAGCCAAAAAAGCGCTTTCGACACGCGCAACCATCGTGGCAGTAACGTGTCCTGCAGTGAGCAATGCCGGCGAAGTAAACTACTCGGTGCGAAACATCGAAGAGGCCTTTAACATTGGATCGGGACTCTTGGTGCCCCCTCCAGAATGGGTTACAGGTGCAAATGGTATGATTCTAAAAAAAAAACCCTGAATATTTACTTGGGGCTACTTAGGATAGCCAGCTTACGTAACTTTTGTTCCACAGGCGTCGACTACCCACATTACTTTGGCAACTACGACAATCTGCCCCTGCCGAGCGACTGCACGGCTCCCGATGTGATTGATCAGCAAGAATATCCCATTCTGCGCACCAAAGTCGCTTTTGGCGATCAGTCGCAGCCAGGGCCGGACCGGGTAAGTAGTTCCTCCCCATTGTCTGCTTTACTTAGTTGTTTGTTGTGCTTACGTTCTATATTTGCAGGTCATTTTTGCGCGACAGACGGGCGGTGGCTTTGTGTATTGCATCACGGTGTATCACAAGGACGGTGGAGGATTTGGTCAGTGCACGTGATTTAGGTGTTAGGTATTTGTATTTGCAATCTAACTTTTGCATATCCGGATTTATCCATATATATGTGCTTTCTTTATATTTGAACCGGTAGAAAATCTATCTGAGTGGACTTATGGGGAGTTGATTTGGTGATTTCGACGCTAAGCAGTGGGTTACAATCAATTGGATGCATGATGGAGATTTATTCCTCTTTGCAAGACATTCGTTTCCATTCTTGTGCCTTGTTTCCACATAAGAAAGAAGCGTGCCAAGCTTATCTGTCGCCCAGCCATTGTTCAGACTAGCAGTCTTGTCTAGTGGAGGCTGTGGTACTAGCGGCTTAGGCGGATCTTGGTAGGCCAACCACATGCGTTAATACACAAGATGACTATTGCCCGATGGCAATTATCTAACTGCATAATCACTTTCGCACCAAGTCTGCTAGAAACTGAAGAAAAAAAAAAGAAATCTATTGCTATGCAATATTCAATCAAGAGCACAAACGGCTCAGATTGAATGGCTTGATTGTTGAAAAGTCTATCTATATACAAAATCTGTCGTATCGAGTACCGTAAATATACACATTGAATTTCAAGTTCACATCTACAACATGTCCCGTTCATTCACAGCGAACATGATTAATTGCTATCGCAATCACACGCTTACAAGTTGTCGATGAGGGGGCCGAGGCCCTGGGGGGTGCCGATCCTGTCCTCGTAGAAGAACCTGCGCCTCTCGACGTTGGAACGGTCGGCCATGAACTTGGCAAAGCCAGGCGCGTAGGTCATGGGCTCTTCGAGAATCTTCTTGTGACCTTGGGGCGCAGGCAGGTCCTGACGGACACTCCACCGGCCCTTCTGGTACTCGTCGCTGAGCATGAAGCTGTGCAGCAGCTTTGCGCCTTCGGGGTGGGGTGCCTTCTTCAGGATGGCGCCGGTCTGGGGCCAAGAGACGAACTTGGCGTCGGTGGGCAGCGCAAACGAGACAGACCCGCGGCTTGCGAAGGAGTAGCTGCTGCTAAAGGATGCAACGCTGCTAGTGCTGTTGGATCCGACAATCGTTCCTGGGGTTTGCGTGCCGCGTACCCAGCGGGGGTTGTTGGCCAGCAGGGCATTGAACCAATCCATGCCGAGTTCCTCTAGGCTACAAATGCTGTTAGTTGGTACACATGGAGAGCAGGGTCATGTGAACGTACATGATTTCGAACTGGTACAAGACGGCATCATCGTCGTTGGGGTAGGTCAGAACAAGCTTGTCCTTGAACTCGGGCTTGATGAAATCTTTGTATGAAGTAGGCACTGCGGTCGTCTTGTTGAGGTTGGCAGAGAGACTGTCATTGGTTAGCAGTGATAGTGGCATGTAGTTCATGGGACATCATACCCCCAGGTGATGATGAAGAGTCCAGTGTAGGCGGCATCTGCATCCTTGAACTCGGGGTAGACATTGTCAAAGTTGAGTGGCGCATAGTTGAGCAAAGCGCCCTCCTTCTTCCAGCGCGGGTAGTCGTGCAGCGTCTGGAGGATGACGCTGTCGACGTAGACGTTGTCGTTTGCGAGTTGCAGATCGATGTTGGTGTCGTGGTACTTGGAAAGGTCGACGGTGAGGTTGAGCGTCATTTTGGGGAAGCGCGTCTGGAAGGCCGTCTTGAGGGCGTTTTGCTGCGTCTTTTCATCGCCGCCATGCCAAAGCGTCACAACGCCACCCTCGGCGACAGCTGCTGCGTAGATTTCGTCGAGGCTGCGCGTTTCCTTGATGGCTGCCGAAGGGGCTGCCAGAGAGGCACAGGCAAAGAGAGCGAGGCTGGAAAGTGTGGCGCGCATGATGGTCGATGCCGGTTCAAGTTGCTGAGGTGGAAACAAAGCTGCCTGATGACGACTCTGGGCCTCGCAGCTCTTATACTAGCACAACTCCAACACTGTGTGGATCTGCTATCCGATCCGATATGACGAAACACTCCACGGGCCATTTCTGGGAATAGCAATAGCGTATGGATAGCCTGCCAAGGTTATATCCGCACGGAGTGTTTGCCATGCCCGCCCCGAAGCTAGAGAGCGGATGGTGTTCTCAATGGGGGGGTGAGGCTTAGCCTATCCCCACTAGTGAAATGGGCCTCAATACCGACTCGGCCCTTTGTGACGATGCATTTTTACGGGCAGAAACATAGCCGAGTTGGCTTTTCACATAGCAGGCAGGTGGTAGGACAGTGTTGAAGGATCTGTATCCAAAGTCAAGCTGGGTGTCGGGCCGATGTCAGTTTTCACACATTCCCACCCAAGGCCGGCTTATTCTTACTTACCACGCGCTGATTACTGCCTCGTACTACCAGTATAGAACAGCCCTACATGCGTTATGATATCCTAGGTCAGCAGACCCTGCCAATTCTACTGTGGATGTAGTGTTGCCAGCCTACCCTTGAGAGGCCCTTGAGGGAGGCCAAGGCTCCTGACAGCGACCCACTTTGGAGAGTTGTGGTTGAAGATGGTACTTTGTGGGAGCAAGCAGCCGGCGTGGCAAGGGGAAGTGCGGGCGCGCTACCAGCAAATTGGACTAAGTAGCCTGAGGGCATATCCGACGAACAAAGGCCATAATGCTCATGCACTAAGAGCCAATTAGATTAGAGCTTATTTCAGCAAATGACCTTTAGCGCCCGCTTTTCCCTTTGAGTGATATCCACTACTCTATTCCACTCAACCGTCATCTGTCGCTAGAGTGGCAAAGGAAGGTCCGGGGTCCGTGACACAATGCGACCTGGTACGTGGGAATCTATGTATGTATGGCTTTTGGATGCTGATAGATGCGCCAGCTTACGTCTAGGAATGATTGTACCTGTAGTCGCGTAACGATACGGTGATAGCGACGGTTTACAGTACAAGTAATTGCAACCCCTTGGAAACGTGGGTACTAGAACTAGGCACCCGACGGCCCGCACAGGCTCGTCTGCTAGTGTTCTCAGTGGGTTCAAGTTGTCGGTGTATTAGCCAGAACACTCCCCTCTTTAGTAACGGTGTATCCACGTATAGAGCTCTAGATCTCGTGTTTACAACAGCTCAATAACCGCAAGATGCGTTAGTAAGTGCTATAACAATACACCCTATTCAGGCAGGTGTCAGTCGGTCTAGAAGTCTAGTGCGTTCTAATTGCGTCATACGGTTTACAGTACCGTGATTACTACTCGCCAAGCCTCTGCAGTAAGTAGGCTATCAGAGTTGCAGCTCTTGCTGCGGCAATTACTGTACTATTCTCGCACGTCATCTCCTACACAAGTTACTGATGCGCCGGCATCATCCGACGGCATCTCCCACACCTTGCATATGGCGCTAAGTATATCTAAAACTCCGGCTTCTAGATTGTTTCCCCCTGGCTAAAAAACGAAACAAACCGTTCGTGTTTCATCCCACCAAACTCCGGTGCGCAATCTCTGTCGCTTCGCAAACAGATGATGCACGCAACAACAAAAAAAAATCAAAAAACATACAACAGCTGGGATTCGCCAGTGGTCACCCACCTGACTACTAATCAGCCGGTAAATTTCAGTTTCCTATGGTCGTATGTGCTAGAACAGTGCGTTCCATACTATATAACGTTATTGATGCTAGGGATATCAAGATGACGGGTTCTGAGATGGCTGGCGGGCTGTATCAACCAAGCTAGGGGGTCGATCGATCCAAGTCCCACACGACTGCCTGTTCACCACCACCCCGGTTGTTTACACCCAAGTAGTCGTCGCACTTCCCGCCGTCTCAAGCACCAATGCAATCTCGTCACTTTTCTTTTTTCAACGTGCATAACAACAGAGGAGGTGCCTGGCTAGGCGAGGTGAGTAGGCAGTAAGTAGCAGGTGCTGCGAAGTTGCCAAGCAAAACTAGACACGACAGAACACGTGAAGAGCATTCAGAGCAGCGCTATGGATTAGCAGCCATTTTTGTAAAAGGATCGATACTAGATACGTACCCTATCACAAATAGATGCTACGATGCAGCGAAACCTAGCGTCAATCCATGAGTGCAATGCGTCTATCTCTACAGCTGATCATCGCGGGTATGTGGTAACAGGCAAATGGCCGCTTCTCAAAACACCATGGCACCACCATCGACAATGATATCCGTTCCGTTTATATACCGGCCAGCATTACTACACAGCAGCACCAGCGGCCCTGTAATCTCCCAGGGATGGCCCATCCTGCCCATGGGGTTTCTGTCGTTCCAGCTCTTGCGCGCTCTAATGAGACCATCGCCCTCGTTCAGAATCGTGTCCATGTACCCTGGACTCAAGCAGTTGACTCTGATACCATAACTACTCCACTCAGCCGCCAAGCTCTTTGCGAGTGAAAGCAGCGCCGTCTTTGAAGAGTTGTATGCGCACTGCGGCTGCGGGTAGTTTGTGTGGTGGGCCGAGATGCTGGCCGTGAATGTGATACTGCCGCCAGTGCCTTGAGCCCGCAGTTGCTTTGCGACAGCCTGGGCGCAGAGAAAAGAGCCAGTGAGATTGACATCGTGGGTCCGGCGCCACTCGTCAGCGGCCATTTCAATGGCGTGGGTGCAGCCTACGACGCCGGCGAAGCAGCAGAGCATGTCGATGGAGCCGAGGACCTTGACGCTGCTTTCCAGAGCAGAGGCAATGGCGGATTCGTCGCGCACATCGACGGCCTCGGTCATGATGCGGGCCGTGGGGAATTTGGCATGTAGTTTCTTCACGCTCTCAAATGCTTGGTCCGGGTTCATATCCCAGAGTGCGAGGCCCGTCGCGCCGTGTTCGAGCAGGGCCTGGGCAGCTTCTAGGGCGAGGGTGCCAGCTCCGCCAGTTACTGGGAAGTGTTAGAAGGATAAATACACAAGCATGCTAGGAGTGTGTTACTAATCGCATTGCCCTTGACTTGGAACCTGTAGTGCGCTCTTTGGGCGGGAGCCAAGTCTTCTGGCGGCGGGCGGGGCGCAGTCAGTGGATTGTCGGCTGTTGAAAGGGTCATTTCGGGCAACTGCCTGTTGACGAGGGCGGCACGGTCGTCTCCTTTTTCTGGCATTGTGTCTGAGTATACCAATTGAAAACATGTAATTGAAATGACTTTTGATGTTTCCGGGGTAATATATAGTTGATGGTTGTATGTGTTGCATCGGACGACAGAGGTCCGCGGTGGTGGTGGTGGTATGGTGGAGCTTCCCGAGCTCGAATATGACGTTGGCGACGCTTGCCCCGCCCCCACGAGGTGTACTTTCACCCCTCTGAGCATGGTGCGGGAAGGATTGCCGAGCATATGTGATTTTACCAGTGCGCGGGTACAATCTATTGTCTTTGATCATGATGATGGGTTTGAATGCACTGGGACTTGAAATGGTCTTGTCAATTTGCAGCACGGCTACAATATCGAGGTGACTACCACCAGAGAGGCACTGGACCATATTTCAACATGGAGGGCATCATACTTATGTAGTTCAAATATAAGACTATACAAAACACCTTTTTTAGAGGGCATTCGCCAAAGTGAAGAGCCACAACTTGCAAGAGCCAGATGTGCCTCGAATCTTCACAGGTCGGAATCTTCATGGGTCGGACGGACACAGCATCACGTGCCAATCCACGATACCACCCACACCCTTACAGCAGATTACCATGGCAAGGCACTCGCTCGGTAATGCCCAAGCCATGGTGGGAAACCCAACCACGACGAGCCATGGTATGCATGGGCGGGCTTAGCCTCGACACCAAGCAACGATACAGAGGCGGCGGTGCAAGCCCGTGTGCCTCGATGCGGCAAGTTTCCAACAGGCATTGATTGCGGGTGCCCTTTGGTGCCCCTCGCCCCCTGCAACCGGGCACCCAAACATGTGCGTGGGCGCCTCGCCGCTTGGGATGCATACAGTAGTGGTAGCAATACTGCATTCCAGAGAACAAACGGCCGCTACGTCTACAGCACCGTCGAGCCTCGCAGGCGAATAAGCATGCCCTACCGCCGCTCTATCGACCGCTACCCGCCAACCACGTGGTGCATGTGCAACCCCTTGTGTGCTGCATCCCGAATCAGAGCAAGAGTACCAGACAAATACACATGCAAATACTTGTACTTATAACTACCATGCCCTGCCCCGCTGCCCTCGCTCTCGGCCAAGCTGCACACCACCACCACCACCCCATCTTCATCGCAGCCACATGCACGCCCCGTGATTGGTCTTGTTTTCTTTTTGCAGCAAAAGCAGCAACGAGCAAGCTGCGACACTTTGCGTGCACGAGGCCCGTGACGTCGACTGGTGCCCGCGTGCATTGCTTATCGAGCCATTTACGAGTCATCCCTCGGGTCCCGCTGCCGTGTCCAACTACTCTTCTTCTTCTTCTTCCTCGTCTCGTCTCGTCTTGTTCCATCCATCCATCCCGACTTCACCTGTCGCCCGTTTTTGTTATCATGGTATTCTAGCACCCTTTCCTTTTTCCTCTTCCCCCGTCACCAGTTTCGACTGCATCTGCATCTGTCTGCATTTTCCCCGGCGGCGTCTTTTGCTTTGCTTTGCTTTGCTTGCGACGCATCATGTCTTATCTGCAAAACTCGCTGCGACGCTTCCGCCGCACCCAGCTGCACAATGTCGAGACCTTCAAGGGACAGCCGCTCGATGAGCTGTCGGGCTCGCTGGGAGACCTGGGAACTTTGCTACCGCTCATGACGGCCCTCGTCATTACAAACTCGATATCACTACCCTCCACCCTGCTCGTCACCGGAGCTGCAAACATCCTCACCGGCATGGCCTTTGGCCTGCCGCTGCCGGTCCAGCCCATGAAAGCCATTGCCGCAGTGGCCATTGCACGCAAATTTTCCCAAAACGAGACGGCTGCTGCTGGCCTGGTGGTAGCGGGCTTCGTCGGCGTGCTGAGCATCACCGGTCTGCTCAACTGGGCGAACCGCGTCACGCCTGTTCCCGTCGTCAAGGGCATCCAAGTCGGAGCCGGACTCTCACTGTGCGTGAGCGCGGGATCAAACATGCTGCTGCCGCTGACCTGGACGGGCCCGTGGTGGGGGGACAATCTGCTCTTGGCCCTTGCGGCCGTCGTCTTGCTCGTGTGCACCTTCGCCTACCCACGCCTGCCCTACGCCATCATCATCTTCGCCGCCGGCATCCTCCTGTCGCTTGCCTCGCCCGGAAACGAGAATGCTCATGCGCCCGACGCGGCCGTATCGCTTCTCCGCCCGTCAGGACACGACTTTTGGAAAGCTACGACGACGGCGTCGCTGGGCCAGCTGCCCCTGACGCTGCTCAACTCTGTCATCGCCGCGTCTGCGCTAGCAGCTGATCTGCTTCCCTCACCGCCATACCCTGCCGCCCCCACCGTCACCGAATTGGGCGTCTCCGTTGCGGCAATCAACCTCGTCGGCTGCTGGTTTGGCGCTATGCCTGCATGCCACGGGTCCGGCGGGCTCGCAGGCCAATACCGCTTTGGTGCTCGTAGCGGCGCCAGCATCATCGTCCTGGGCATCGTCAAGTTCACACTGGGCCTGGTGGCCTTTTGGAAATCCCCCGGTATTATCGCTGTGCTGGATAACATTCCGAAATCGCTGCTGGGCGTGCTAGTACTTGCTGCGGGCATAGAGTTGGCAAAGGTGGGTGAGAGTGTCAATACGAATGCCCGCGATCTGCGCGTACTCGACAGAGACCACGCGTGGGACGGAAAGCGGGTCAAGGATCTGGATGAGCGCGAGAGAAAGGAGAGGTGGATGGTTATGCTGGTTACGGTTGCCGCCCTGCTTACCTTCAAGAATGACGCCGTGGGCTTTATTGCGGGACTGGCGTGGCACTGGGGCTTTGAAATTGCAACGAGGATCGAGGGTTGGCGACATGGCGAGGTGGATGGCCCGGTCTGGAGAACCGTGGGACATGGTCGTGACGAGAGAACTTCGCTCCTGGCTCACACCGAGTCTGATACTGTTGCGTAAATGGAGAGTACTGCGTCATACAAGGCCAGGATGCCGTTGGGCGCTCTACCTACTTCAGAGACAACGCGGTTTCTGATTCGACATATTGCATAATTTATCTCTAGATACTCACGAAGAATGACAGATACAACTGGGCCTGTTGGAAAAGGACTGGCATAAAATACCAGATCCAAAAACCCGATGCACCTGTGAGTCGGAATGTAATCCATGCTAACAACTATACAATGAATGCATGGAAAAGATACAAGTTTTGTTAATGCACAAGGGATGTGCACCAAGCAGTAAATACGTGCTCGTGCACGCTGTCCCGTTTGAAGAAATACATATCTACGCTTACTCGCTAGTGCACGTTGCGCCAAGCGAGAACTTTTGTCGTCATCGTTGCCTGCGACACGTCGTTTTTCACCCACCAACAATCATGCTGCCTGTCTCCCACGTCAACTGACCATGACGAGACGCGAACCACTCGCTACTACCATCGCAGAACCCATATTCTTCACGAGCATCCGTCGTTTCGCAAACAGCGGCGACTGAACCAGCATCATGGTAGCCCTCCATACCCTGCCAAACGAGATCCTCTCGCTCATCACGAGCCATCTTGATCGACCCCGGGATGTACTCAGCCTTTCCCTTAGCAGTCGCCGCCTCGCCGAGTTTGCGCAACTCGACGGATGGAAAGCGCTACTCAAAGGACGATTCAGCCTTGGCGGACTCGACTCTGACGCCCGTGACGCGGTTCACGGGCTGACCACGCTGTATCGCAACTGGGCCCGCAAAGGCTTCATCGCAAAATATCTGGAGCCCACTGACAAGGTAACGAGCTTCAACACCTGGCGGCCTGAGAAATGGAGAGGCCCCCAAGGTCAAACCATGGGCTACCAGCCGAGCATCGACGCCTATGAAGAGACATACAATGGGTGGGGAGAGCGACGAGAAGTACTGGCCTGGTCTGCCGGTATTCAAATCGTTTTGAGAACAAGAGAAACGGGCGCAAACATAGAAAAGATTAGACAACGGGAGCAAGACATGGCGGAGCAACGTGACCAGACGTGGACCTATGACACCTTCAAGCACCTAAACACGTGGTTTACATACAAGATCCCGGAAAGCTTCGAGGGTCGCGATGACATTACACAGCTCAAACTGCTTCGGCCGTATCAGCGGCATCTGGCTTACGAAGACGTTGTTTTTGGGACTGCATCGGGTAACCTGTCGTTGTTAAGTGTTAACCCCGATTTGGGTCAAACATTGCTACAGCAATATGAAACTGGCCAGAGAGGCGTGAATGATCTTTCAGTGTCTTCATCGAGCGCGCCAATGGTGGCTGCCGCACTTGCAGACTCTTCGCTGGCGCTGTACTCGCTGGATCGCGACTACACGTCGGACACAAAGATCAAACACTCGTCAGAAGTCAAGACGTCGTTGGCCGGTGCGCCGCTTGGTCGGCTGTGGTCTTGCGAGTTCCTGTCCAACGACAAGGTTGCCGTTGGCTGGGGACCCAACACCGAACCAATCGAGGTATACCATATTGGCGCCGACGGCTTTGCGCCTATGCCCCTTCGCAGCTTCAACTCCATCACTGGCAATCCGGCAACCTCTCGGCCCACCTCGGTCTATCCAATCTTGCCCATACCGAGCACCGCATACGGCGGCTCTGAGCAAGGCAACACGTTTCTTTCGGGCGGCTACGATGGCCTCATCCGACTGCACGACATGCGCTCTCCACGCGGCTTCGAGCAGACCTTCTGGGATCCAACCAACGACTCTCCCATATACTCACTCGCTGCCCAGGGTGTGCAACGCATAGTAGCAGGCGTGGCCTTGCACAGCATGATCAAAGTATTTGACTTGCGCCTGTCTGGATCTCGCCCATACCATAGTGTCGCGCTGCCGTCCTCTAGCTCTAGGAGACGCACTAACACACTCATTGATAATTCCAAAAGACATCCATCGACTATAAGCGGAGGTTGGAATCTCTATCTCAATCCACGCATCCCGCCACCACGCCATGCCTACCGCCACGACTACTCGCGCGTACGCGAAGACTCGCCTGTCTACAGCCTCTGCATTCCATCGCCCACGTCGCAAAACCTGTATGCAGGTCTTGAGGGCGCAGTGCAAAGCCTCACTTTCCACGGCATCGCAGACCCCCACCCCGACCCTATGCTTTCCTACTCGGTGACGCGCTTCGATGATGGCGATACCATGGACCCCCAGAGTTCGTTTAATCCCAAAGGCGACGCGCTGGCGCTCGGAATGTACGAGCAGGGTACGGAAGAGGGACTTGGCATGCAGCTGCTGGTGCAGGATGGTGTGACAGCCAAGGCGGCCAGGCGAGAGCGAAGAGAAGCAGCGCGAGAAAAAGGGCTAGACGAGCGGTGGATAGATCTTCGTGAAGAGGGAGATCGGTGGGCTAGAGGCGAGGTCCCGCGAGGTGGACAATCGCGAGGCCAGAGACAGGGTCGTGGACGGGGAAGAGGGCGAGGCAGGACACGAGGTGGCTAGAAGGTGCCGTGTTCACTTGTGCATGTTTGTTCGCAGTATTGTCGAGTCATTGCTCTCGCCTTGGGCGAGTAGTGTAGAGATAGAGATAGAAATCCATAGAAAGAGCCCCTTGGAAGATTGAAATGCCTGGGCGTCGACTCTGACCGCTGCAAGTGACGTGGCGTGACATGTTGACGTATGCAGGATGACTTTTTATGAGAGTATGTCCAACTCTTTGAACTCTTGGATGGAGAACGAGCGACGACGAGGCGGGAAGTCTATTAGAGACTGGATTCTGTCCAAGGCTGTGTCTATGTCTAGTAGAGTAAACATGTTTCCACCACCTGTTTTGCGAGCATGTAACGACTACGTGTGTCATCGTCACAAGGTATTCAATCAGCGCTTATGTTTAATGCAGGTAGAAACTAGTAGTATACATAAGCCCTAGCCCAATGACGAAGCCCTATCTATATGAGCAAAAGCAGCACTATCCAGTTATCCATAGAACTGGGCAGGCCTAGCGAGGGCAGAGTCAGCGACAGCGAGGGTTTGACGGCCAAGTTGCTTTGGCTGGCTCCAAGTGCGAGGCGAGGCGAGGAGTGTCGTGCCTTGTACTGCAAACATGCATCCAATTCATCAGGCAACTGGGTGATAGAGTCCATCCAGACCGGTGTTGGTTTGGTCGAGGCAGAAGAACAAGCAATGCTGGACAATGGTGGCAACTGAGACGGCGGAAGACCCCTGCATCCCCCTATCTCGCGCCCGGCACTAAGGCCGTCGAGACTCACGTGATGGCATGTGCTCGCCCGTCTTGCGTTACTTAAGCCCAGCGCCCTCCAGACGCCTTTTTGCCGGGCTGCGCGCATACTGTACGGCTCGTCGGTGGCGCCAGCCCTCTCCCACCATGCGCATTCTCTCCTACTCTCACCAGCCTGCCACGCGACGCAGCCAGACGCCGCCCGCCATGGCCGAGGACAAAAGGGCCTTTGCCCTGATTGGCGCCATTAGCGCCATCCGCGACGGCCTGCGACACGACATCGACGGCCTGCGACAGATGCACAACCGCTGGAAAGACAGCAGCCCATCGCCCATCAACCTGATTGCCCACCTGACCGCTTTGAAATCTACCTTTGGAAACATCCAGGACTGGCTGGAAGTGGCCAGCAATGACGTCCACCCACACCTGCTCACTGACCTCGACGTGCTCATCCACTCGTCCAATGAGCTTGCCCGCCACGTGAATGTTCTAATCACCAGCTTCAAGCACTCAGACCCCAGCGCTGCCGACTTCGCCGCAAAGCTCAAGTATGCCATCACCAGCAAGACCATGGAGCGGCTGCAGACGGTCGCCCAACGTGAAAATGACGCTGTTAATCTATTATTGGCAGCATGCCACTGGTACGTTGCTGACACGACCAGCTTCCGGCCTTCCGACTTCCTAACAAATAACAGCACGGCACAGGCCCAGCGCAAGATTCTGCTCCATAAGAGCCGTCAGATCAGGCAGGAGGACAATGTAAACCTCAAGCTGCTCGCACAGTCTGCAAAATGGAACGGCGGCTGCATCACCGGTCTGTCGCAGCTATCGTCTTTCATTCGATGGCTGAGGTTGATCTTCTGCGGGGCGCCTCCACTCGACAGGAACATTTCGCCTACGGATACAGAGTATGAGCACATTGAGGCCATACACCGGTCCGAAGCAATCGATCGTGCTCTGCAAAGGGAAGCCACTCATCTTTACCGCGAAACTAAGCTTGTTCTTGTAGGAAATAATAGCAGTGGCAAAGACCTCGTCATGCATCAATTAAAAGTGCTGCACGCAGAAGGCCATCACACGGCTGATCAGCGCACAGCGTACAGCTGCCAAATCTACCAAGTCATCTACTCTCTGATGCAATCCATGGCCAATCTACTCAAAGATACCGGCGTTTCCCTCCCCCCGGAGCTGAACCAGGATTTTGCCATCTTGCTGAACGAGCTGGATGCTGGCAAGGAAGACATCTCTCCGGATGCTGTCAACGCCATCAGCAGCATCTGGTCGAGCCCGCAGTTTTCCAAGCTCTACGACCACAACTTTGAGATTGAATTTCCACAATACGCACCCTACTTTGCGCAGGAAGTCGCTCGCATTGCCCGCCAAGACTACGTTCCTAGCGAGGCAGACATCATACGCCTGAACCAATCCATGCGCGGCATCAAGGAGCTGCGCTTCAACTGGGACGAATTAGACATACACCTTTTCAATATCAAGGGGTACATCCCCGATACCTTCCGCGACCGCTGGTTCCATCAGCTCGAGGGAGCGTCTGCGATCATCTATATCATCAATGTGTCGCTGTACGACCAACCGAATCCCGCTCGACCCGACGAGTCGCTTTTGGCCAACGAATTCAAAACGTTTGAAAGCTGGATCAGCCAGCCAGGATTCTCTACCTCTTCAGTCATTCTCATACTCAACAACTACACTCGCTTTGTCACAAAACTGGCGCACTCACCCTTGGAGAAGTTCTTTCCCGACTATTCACCCAATGAAGAGGATCCTGAGATGTCGGCAAGACAGTATATCGTCCGACATCTTAAGAGTGTCAACCATCGAGGCCTCTACTTCTACTCATTTTGGGTCGACCTCGACTCAAGTGACAACAGACAGTTGTACTCGGCACTCAGGACTACCCTATCGCAGATAGAGGGCCGTAGAGCGCACGAAGAAGCTCAGGCTGCAGAAAATCCACCCACAGTCTCGGATCCCCCGACCGAAAATTGTATATCCAACGTGCTCAACGTCAGCCTGTCCCGCAGCCAGAAGAAGAAGAAACATGAAATCGAGCAAATGAAAACCATGGGATTCCTCAAAGGCGACTGAGGTGTCTTGCGCGAGGGGCAATATATGGGTGTCGTCTTGTTTGTAATTTCAGTGCGACGGCGTTTTTGGGAACGAAGATACCATGGTATGGCGGGCCGGCGTTGGGATCGAGATGGAGTTGACATGCATGACACACGTTCCGAACGACGACCGAAAGGATTGTGGCGAGCGGTGTCTGTGCAGGGGGGGGGGGTATTCTACAGCCATTGCATATACACGCACTACAGGGCCCATTTGTCAACGTTTAGAAATCCATGTATGCCAAGGTCCGGCGGCGCCCCAATACTACACTTTGGAACAAATGTTCGCATTGGGAGCTAGGGCCGAGCGTCGAGCTGAGGTCTACTGGCTCCACAGGCCCATGATTGGATGGCAGGTCGAGAGCCTTGTCCATCTGATACCGTACCCGGCTCTTGTATAGGCGTATTGATGAGTTGGGAACAGGCGATGCCGCCCTATTTTGGTGACGCCCGACACCTGATCGACTGCAGATCAACAAGTTTACATCTTACGAGCCGTACATGGAGGGGGGTTTATACGGGCAACTGCGTATCCTATTGGCTCGATAGTAAGCCTGTTGTTGAGACTTTGTTGGTTCCCTGCGCATCGGCTAGGTGTCTTAGGAGTGTGCGATAAGACTGGCAGTTGGGTTGGTTGTCGTTCCCAGGCCGCCAGAGCCAGCGCAAGAGTGTCTCGGGTGCGCACGTGTTCTAAATGTAGACGGGGTGATTAGAGAGGATGACCAAGTGTGGTGTCGCCGCCGCCGCCGCCGTGCCAAACGCTGGCAATGGATGATGCCACTGTGCAGGCCATAGCAAGGTACACACAGATTTGTGAGGTTTGGTGGTTGAAAGAGCGGAGTGAGATTTCGCGTCGCCCCTGCTTACGCATCATCCTAGCCGCCCCTAGTGGCTGACGGCCTGCGACCCGCCACAGCATAGCCTCTCTGCTCTTCTTTTCTCAGCTCAACGTTGGCGCGTCACCGTCACTGCCTTTCTTTTTCCGACCACCGCACTGCGTGTGACGGGTTTCATCTGCCGCGAGTTGCTGCATATGCCACAGGCCCGGCTCTCGCTGCTGGCGACATTCTCCACGTCACCCGCCCTCTGCATGGCCTGCTCACGTGGACGTCCTTTCATCACGGACCAAGATCGGCTCGCGTTTCCGAGATGATTCAGCCACCTGGGATGCCAGTTTTAGTCGTCTAGCGCACCCGATACAGCAGTAAGTAATCGCAGCTGGGTGGCTGGCCACATGGCTAAGCGGCATCGAGTCGGCATACGGCGTCCCAGATGGCTGGCGACCATGACTAAACACCCCAGAAGGACGCGGTCCCGCGTAGCAGTCCCGAGTCTCTGGTGACCCCGTCTCACTACTTTGCGGCGAGATTAAGGTTAAGGTTGACGGCGGCAGGATCAAACAATGCATTGTTTGCTCTCTGTTGCTCCATTGGTTCTGCTACTATTTTCGTAGCGTTTAATCAGCACTGCCCAGAAAAGGCTTCCAAGCACGGCAGAGGCAAGCTGCAGTCTCGTTTCGCTTAGCAACCGTGGCCCGCAGAGTCAGGGCCAGGGCTGTCTTTACTGCTTGAATGTAACCTTGCCGCCTATGATTAGGAATTGATCAGCGGCTCAAAAGCAAGCCTGTTTCAACGCTTTCTGTGCATAGCAATCCCATACTCTGGCTCCCGTACGTACACTTGCTGCTGGCGCCATGAACCCTCCCAGTACCACACTGCCGTCACAATCCTCACAATCTCCCCAGCGGCAGCGGCGAAGAAGCAAGCGGGTGGGAGACGCCGGAGAGCCAGCACCGAAACCCAAAAAGGTCAATAGCGAGATCCGAAAGCAACAGAACAGGATCGCTTCGCGCAACTACCGTAAGTTGCCACTCCCAAGAAAAACACTATTCTCAATCCCGTCTGACTCGTTCGGATCCAGGGGAAAAGCGGAAACGAAAGCTTCAATATCTCCAGCAGTTGATTAGCGATGAAACAGAAGACAAGAAGAGAGCTGAACCTTCCCCTGAGCGACAAGCAGTGTACGCGCCCTCACGCCCCGCAAACAACAATATCGTAGGCCCAAGTTCATCGCCTTACCAGTTGCCTTCCAGCGGTGGCCTCGGTTCTATGAGTGCCAGAAGCAAAGCTACTCACGATGCTATCCTGGCAGCTACCACCGCATCTTTCAATAGCCATCATGCTACAACTTCACAGGCATACGCTGCCTATCCTTCAAACTGGAATGCACCGCTATACTCTCCACCCCCGCCTCTCCCAGCGAACACTGCTTGGAGCATCCCGTCCATCTGGGCGTCGAGCTTTGGGCAGCCTGTCCACAGTTCTCCCCAGCCATCAGTCTATCACTACAGCCCCGAGCCAACAGCGCCCATGGGATTCGACCAGACACATGCTCTGTCGCATCAACCACAGGAATACCTTTCCAACGCATATCTCTATGGTTATGGCTCGTTTTCCGGGTCTCAACACCAGGTAACCCACAATCCCCATGTGAGTTTGCCTAGTTCCTCGCCTGGCTACCAGGGATATCGTCCTAGACCGCAATGAGGTTCGCACATCTACCCAGCTGCGGCACATCGGACGCATCGTCCGAGCAAGCTGACAAAATGAGCAGTTTCCGATTGGACATGAGCCTTCCACGTTCGACCGATACGTCTACATTTGAGACCAAACAGCGAGCTCTACTCATCATGGGCGCACGTACATGAAATCAGGGCAGCCTCGAGATACGCGTTATCTTAATCGCACGGCAACACAGTTTGCATGCCAGATGGGACTTTGAATCAGGGGGGGAGGTGCAAGAATGGGGGCCATGCGAAAATGACTATACTCAGCTCGACTGCGCATCGCTCTGCATCAGCTCACAACCTGACATGGCCATGAAGATATTTCAGGCTTCCTGGAACGAGTATCTTACCCCTCTGAGCATCGCGACGCGCACTACCCGCGAAGCTTACGCCAAGCATGAGCCACGATTGACGGCCATCACACCACGAGGTTCAAAGCCTCGCCTGGGGGCCACGCGGTCTGTGACTCGGGAGCCAGTAGAAGAGGGGGCAGTTCCGCTGTTTCACAAGCCCCAGATGCGTACAGAAAATAGCTGATAGGCTGAGGCGAGCCTGAAAAAGCCCATTTGCAAGTCTGGACTTTGCGCAGAGGGGGCTGAAATGCAAAGCAGGAACGGAAACCTTGAAAGCGTTACTGACGTCAGCTGAGCATTATTCTTCCGACGCCCTTGGAGCCAACTGGACAGACAGCTTTTGTACTCTTACTGTCCCAACCCCCCCGCTTCGTCTGAGTAGCCATGGCTTTTTGCTACGTGGTGGGCTCTCATTGTGCTTTGCTGCGATGACGGCCGCCTAACTGACTCAGGTCGACGTTGCTTCTCTAGTCTAACTTTACCCCTCTCTGCAACAAGCCGCAACAATACCCTCACCGTCTCTACACACTCTCACCGCTAGTAGTTGGGCTTGCAAGGGGAAAGATGGTCTGCAGACACAGGGGCGCAGTGAATGGCTTACATGTCGGCCACATGTCGGTCACCTTTCTTACCGACCACGAGCAAGTGATCGACGCTCGCAATCATACCGTACATTGCATCGTAGCGAGAGAGAGACACACACAGAAAGAGGGTCCCATTCAGCCCTGTCAGATACGAACTGGCTTCCGAGTAAGTTTATGCATACGACACGCCCCCACTTGTTTGTTTTTATTCTTTTTTTCCCCACTTCCTAACTCGTGCAAAGGCTCATCCTCATCCGACTTCGTACCCCTCATGCCTCAGCTACAACAACACAGCCCTATGCATAGAACTCATTCCAACGCAACCATCTCAACAGAGTCTGGACGGTCACTACAAATTACACATGCCGTGTACCCTTTGACACACGATGCCGCAGCAGTCTAGGAAATGGTAAATACATGCTTCTTCCTCCGCCTTTGCCACCATCATGACCGCACATCCCTACTCAAACCCAGCCACATGCTTCACTCGCATTCTAGCTAGCAAAAAGGCAACAAATGAAGAGAAGAAACACATGCGATATACGTATCTCAGCAAGCAAGTCAAATCAAATCATCAAAATCATGTGCTTCGATTGGAAAAATTCACCCTTGTGCGTTCCACGCGCGCCTCGTAAGACACTAGTTATCTCTACATAGTGGAACAAGCCGTGCATAAACCATCTATTATTACTACATTGCATTGGGACCCTGGGTAGCGACTAATGTGGTGTGAGAATTTCGACAAATAATAGTTGGGTAACTAGTCTATTTTCTTTTCTTCCTTGCCAGCACTGCACGAGGGTACTTTACCTCTCTCTCTCTCTCTCTCTCTCTCTCTCTCTCTCTCTTTGCTTTAGTATAATAAAACAAGAGTGTACAAGTATAAATCAAAATAGAACACAAATATTTTACATATTTAGTTCCGCATCGTGTACTATGTACATGGCATGGCTATCATGTCCCCGCCCCCCTCGCCCCTGTCCTTCTTCTTCTTCTTCACCCCCACAATCAATCTCACAAGTACCTCGTATCTGGTATCTCGCACTTTAACCTCGAAACCCCCCCCTCACCCCGGCCACCCTGTGCTCAAAAATCTATTCTACAAACCCCGCATTTCAGGTCGTCAGTCAGGTTCCTTCTCCCGCAAATGCATGACAAGACAGACAGCATTGCTATTTCTATTTTCCGCTTTGAATTTGGAAACTACCACTACTAGGCGTTCGACATACATACATACATACATTGCTGTTCATATCGTGCTGTAACTAACATGCAATGAACTCACGAACCCCAAGTCACGGCTTTCAAGAGCAAGAAAAGCAAGCAACAGAAAAAAAAGCAATCATGGTATGCTGAAACAAGCTCACGCTTACAGAAAAGCAAAGTGTACTATGCATACACCGCTCACGCTAAAAAAAAACACTAGTCAAACTGCCTTGTTGTTTTCTTTCTTTATCATTCTTCTCGTATTCACAAAGTTATGAATAGAGAGCGCATGGACTGGGTGTGGGTGTGGGTGAGGTTTCCTAGTGTCAAAACCAATTATTGTACAAAAAAAACGAAAAATGTCATGAACCCTTTTGCCGATGAGGGAAGAGAACGAGGCGGAAAACGAACACCATTTTGCCTCGTCTATGCATACATGCTTAACTGAGCATTACTCATCTTTTCTTCCCTTCATAATATCTCTCCTCATTCTGAATAATTCACTATGCAGGCAGTGGCGGTCCCGGCGGTCCGGAACCATCGCCACCGTCGCCTCTTGGTGGAGGCAATATGGCAGTCGGAAGAGGGCTGTCTGGTATTTTGATGGGCTGATTTGGCATGGCCTTCAGTCGATTGGGAAGATCCTCGCCCCGGATCACTTTGAGAATCTCTTCCTTGTCCAAAGTTTCGTACTGAACAAGTGCATCGGCGAGGCGGTCCAGCTCAGTACGTTTCGACTGAAGTAGCTCTCTTGCGCTCGACTTTGCTTCATCTATCAAGCGCCGCACTTCGTCGTCGATGAGTCGCTTGGTCTCCGGGGACACCATTTCGTAGTTGGACTTGAAGTCGACATTACCGAGCTTGTCCGAGAAGCCGCACGCAGTGACCATGTTATAGGCGAGCGAGGTTGCTTGTTGGATATCGCCAGAAGCACCGTCGGCTACGTTATCGGCACCAAAAACAATTTCCTCTGCCATCTTTCCACCCATGGACACTTGTAGTTGGCGAATGTACTGCTTGCGGGTGTGATGGTGCTCTTCCTGGGGAAGGAAGAATGTAATACCGGCAGCGTGACCACGGGGAAGAATTGTTGCCTTGTGCACATCGTTGAAGCCCTTGGTGAAGAGACCGACGAGCGCGTGACCGCCTTCGTGGTAAGCGGTGTGGATCTTGTCTTGGAGCGGAATCGTGCGCGTCTTCTTCTCGGAACCCATTGTAATCTTGTCCTTGGCCCATTCCATGTCGTTGAGGGTCACAAACTTGGCCTGAAGCTTGGAGGCACGGATAGCTGCCGAGTTTGCAAGGTTTTCCAACTCAGCACCAGAGAATCCAGGAGTGCCTCGAGCGATGGTAGAGAGATCGATATCAGGCGAAAGACGAATCTTCTTGGTGTGGTACTTGAGTATGGCCAGTCGTCCGCCGACATCAGGAAGCTCAACTTGAACGTGGCGATCGAAACGTCCGGGACGGAGAAGTGCCTTGTCTAGGAGTTCAGGGTGGTTCGTTGCGGCGATGAAGATGACACCAGTGCTTTGGTCGAAACCGTCGAGGTCGTTGAGAAGCTGGTTAAGAGTCTGGCGGTGGTAGTTGGCGTCGCGGGACTTTCGCTTGCCGCCAACGGCATCCAGTTCGTCGATGAACACAATAGCAGGCGCCTTGGAACGAGCAGCAGTGAAGAGTTCGCGGACACGCTTGGCTCCTACACCAACATAGACTTCGTCGAATTCAGATCCAGACATGTAGAAGAACGGAACGCCAGCTTCACCCGCGCAGGCACGAGCAAGCAGGGTTTTACCGGTACCGGGAGGACCAACCAGGAGAACACCCTTGGGCAGCCTTCCACCGAGCTTGTTGTACTTGTCTGGGTTTTTGAGAAAGTCGACTACGTCCAATAGTTCTTCCTTGGCCTCATCACAACCGTGGACGTCACTAAAACGTGTGGTCTGCTGTTCCGGGCGAACCTCGGCGGTAGTACCACCGCCGACCTTTTTGAGGACACCGCTAGTTTCGACGAATAGTGTAATCAGAACCAGGGATACGTAGGCAGCCAGGGCGAAACCGCAAATCCATCGGACCCACTTGAAAATGACATTCATCATCGACTCTTCGACAACAACATAGACAGGGTCGGTCTTAACGCCACTGCCGCCTTTGGTTCTGGCGACCTGAGCAGAGTTGGCGTTGGCCCCGAGAGCCTGAGTGATGGCCTGTCGTTTTTCGGGCGAGAGTCCCTCTTGGCTGCCATTGAGCTGTCCAGTCTTTGCCAAGGCCTCATTGTAGAGCTTGTCGACGACGTCATTCGTGGCGAAGAGTCCTGTGTTGTACCGGTTGATGATGATTTGAGGCATGTTGGCGCGCATAAGTGCAGAGTAGAATGTAGCCTGGGATGCTGCGCTGTTTGCATGCTTGTTAGCCGCTTGCTCTAGCCGAGCAAGCTGTTCGTGCGAAGGTCCACCGAAGAGCGAGCGTTGTTGTACGAGATTCAATCCGAGCAGTCCGGGCTTTGATAGCTGGCGGAGGTGCGATAGAGGGCCGTTGCGAGACATGGTAGAGTATTGGCGAGCCTTGAGCGAGGCGAATGGCGAAGTGCTAGCGAAAGAGTTGCCTAGTCCGAGTCGCGATGCTGCGTGATGTCAGCCTGGCTCTGGTTTAGATGTTTTTGTTTCTACTGACCTGCGGATAGTGGAGAAGACGCAGTGGTACGAGCAGTAGCAAAGGGAGCGGATTCGGCGTGTTCGGGGCGAGAAACTTGCGCGCGTGGCTATGTCTGCATTAGCATACTGGATGTCGGACGACGAAACTGGGCTTGCGTACATGCGCTCCTGCTACCAAGGCAGACGGCGATGGCCCTGCCGTGTGGAGCTGGCGGACGCCCGCAGCCATGGGCTTTCGCCCGAGGCCGTGGCGGGGAGATCGCAAGAAGGTGGACATGGAGGGCCACAGGTCGGCGGTAACAGATGCGACGTTCTGTGACTTGATCAGTGAAGGCTCAATGACGCGATGTCGGAAGCGTGGCAAAACGAACCTGAACCGCGCCGGCCGCGTGGAAGGCCATGGTGGGGGATTGAGAAGCGGCAGAGGCCGCAAAGTCTATGGGCAATACCAGATGAAAGAAAAGAAATAGAGGCGCGCGAGCGTGTGCAAGGTCGTGGCGGCGAGAGGCCACTGGACGTTGACGGTGAGGGTCGTTGGAAAGAGGCAGAATAGGCCAGTGCACATCGATCGCCGGCCCAAGACCCTTGCATGACATCGCTCTCCCACTCCCACCCTGGCTTGACACCTGGCGCTCCCACCGGTTCTTGGCGATACACACCACAGCAGCCAGCCCTCCCGTCCGCCATCTTGCCGGACGCCGTGGATTTGGGCGCGAGAGCCTCATGGCCTGCGGCTCTCTCCTCGATGGCGCAATCCGACCCCGCCCGCGCCATGGATGGACGCGTCTGGGGTGGGCCTTGAGGCTGGCGGGGAACGTCTTCTCCCAGCCTTGCCTCCATCACCGAAGAAGAATTGGCTGAGGGACGCATAGCAGGCCTCTGATTTCTTCATGCATGCATACTTTTGCACATAGACAGTCATCACAAAGTCTCTGGAGCTGCTCAAAGGCCGACCCTGGAGAGCTCCGGGCACATACATCTCGGTTGGCGGGGTTGAGTACTTAGGGAGCCAAGTCCATAGCTGCGCCAGAGCACCTCATAGCATTGGCTAGGTACATTCGTGCAATACGCCATTCAGCGAACCTCCAAGTCTAGCATACAAACATGACGTCTCCAAGATGGAAGAAGTTGTATGAATATGCAGCATGCGACGTACGCTTGTCCCCTCTGTACCCGATGCTCATGTAACTCAGCTCGCACAGCTTGCAGATGGCCTGCTGAAACTCCACGTCCCAGGCGCAGGCTTTCTCGCCGACATCAGTATACTTCACCTGCATATCTGTGGACGAAATATCCATTGACCCAGTGCAGGGCCGCTGCTCCATACGGCCAGCATTCCCAAGCCTGAGCCGAGAAAGATACTCGCGCCTGCGTCGACCTTCCTCATGGTCCCCAAGGCCACCAAGTCCTTCCCGAACCCACCCCCAATGTCGAGCAGTATCCCTGCCTCGAACCTTACAGACGCCAGGCCATACGCCGACTACACTCAGAGCGGTACCATTGTCGTGATTAGCCAGCCCCCAGGGCAGTCATGCGCCGTCGTGGGGGGCATCATGGCGGCTCGCATGCAGCATCTCGGCGCAGAGGGCGTCGTAGTCGATGGGCGCGTGAGGGACATCACTGCTCTCAACCAGACAGGATTGCCCATCTGGTCCAGGGCGACATCTGTCATCGGGGCGGGGGCGGAGACCAAGTTCCACGCACACAACGTGCCTGTGAGGATTGGTGAGACGGTTGTCGAGGCCGGAGACATCATCATGATAGATCCATTCGAGAACGGCGTGGTCGCGGTGCCACAAGGAAAGGTAGACGAGCTACTCGAGCTGCTGCCGAGGCTGATCGAAGCCGATGAGAAGGTAACTGCAGACGTGGGGCAGGGCGTCAGTGTAGAAGAGGCCTTCAAGAGGCACCGGTCGTAGTCGCCATCAATACAAGTATGCGCAGCCTCTCCATTGAGGTCGCACGCGGTTTTGCACAAGGTTGTGGCAACTCAACGCAAGAAGCCACTGAGAAGGCTCGCAATCAGATGACGCCCGCTAACCCCAAGACCGGGTCCGTGCACAGGCCATTTTCGCGATCCCGGGCTGAGAACAGCGGTTGAAGCTCTTGCCAAATCATCACCTCCAACCCTCTGCACCACCCGCATCCCACCTCAAGGACCCCCAATTGTCGCGGAGCATTCACAATGGGTATCACCGACTTCTTCACCGACGTTTGGGAGACCTTCTCCCACCCCTCGGCCGACGCCGATCACCCCGTCCAAGGTGGCACCAGCACCAAGTCACCCGCGTCCGGCACCGACGAGGAGAGCGGCAAGGAGGCCGAAGTAAACAAGCAGGACGCAAAATCGGGCGCCGACTCGGGAGAACAGGGACACAAGCCTTCCGAGGAGCCCGAGGACGAGGATGAGGAGGAAGAGGAGGAGGTGCCAGACCCAAAGGAGACACTTGAGAAGGGTGAGTTGATTTTCTGGCGGGATGCAGAACCAGATATGAGACATTGAGGGTGTCAATCGCCTGTCAAGTGCACTTTTGACCAAGTGCGTTTGCACGGGGCATATGCTGGAGGTCGCTCGGGCTCAAACACGCCATGTTCATGCGAGTATGAAATGTATGCGTGGCTGACATTGTTCCGCAGAATGCGCTGAATCCAAGGAGTGCCACGGTCCGAAGCACCACTACGACGAATGCGCCCAACGGGTAACAGGCCAGATTGAGAACAATGGCAAGGCCGACGAGGATTGCGTTGAGGAGTGTATGTCAAACACCAACCCGCGGATTGGTCTCAGGAACAATACCCTAACGTTGAAGCAGTTTTCCACCTCGCCCACTGCGCAACCCAATGCGCCGCCCCCAAGCTCTTTGCTCAGCTCAAGTAAACCAACCTACCCTCCAGGCACACTTTCCCGTACCAGCGTATAGATAGTGCATCAGGGACAGCCATTCGAACTGCGTGCAAACGATCAAGATATGATGGATGACTGTAAATACCAGACTCATGTTTAGAAATATCATTGTACTTCTATCTCTACTACCTAGCCAAAACTCACTCACACAAGCAAACTAAACATTGATGCCGGGAGCGACCGTCCTGATAGGTTTATCTAGGGCAGCAGTGAATGCCGAAAAGACTTTGGTGTGGTTGGCGAGGGAAGACGAGCAGCTGAAAGCGAAAAGAAAAACAAAAAGAAAAATTGCCGCTCGTCTTCCCGCCGAACCCCCAAGTCACAAAAAACCCCTCTGAAAACCTGATTCGTGCCCAAAAAGAGAAGAAAAAAAAAGTGACTCATGTCCATCGTTATCATCATGGCCAAGGCCGTTGTGAAGTTCCGACCCCGTCCCGCAGAAGTCATCACTGAGGCCCCTATGCAGCTTCCTCAGGAGTCAACACAGCTGTGTTGCTGTTCCCGACATCTGTCTTCAGCCTGCCTTCCCTGGTCTCCAAGCCGAGCATCTTGATGCCCAGCGCGAGCGGCAAGGGCAGGATGGCCATGGCAACGACGGCCTGGAAGACGAGTGACCAGAACATGTTTCCAGGCGGCTTGTCACCCACACCATGGGCGTTTCCCCTGCCAAGTTTCCTGACTTCCTCCAAGTCGACGGGACGGTCATCCTTGAGCACATCCATGATGATGATGAAGACGGCGCCTGCAACCTGGCCGCCGGCCCAGCAGATGGTCGAACTGATTTCCGGACTTGCCGGGAACGTGATTTCGACCATGTACTCGAGGGCCACGGGCAGCAGGGAGAAGGCGGCGGCGCCCAGCACGCCACTGAGCAGGTAAGGGGCAACGATTGTGCGGGTCTGGGGCGCCCAGACCATGGCGAGGATTGAGCCTGCGATAATGGGAGATAGCAGCTTGATGCTGAGCAGGTAGGCGTGGGTGCGATCGATAATTGGGCTCACAATGGCGCACACGACAAGGCCGGCGAGGATGAGGACTGCGCCGCAGAGGCCGGCCTCGTCTTCCGAGTAGCCGTAGGGATACAGGATCTGGTTGAGCAGGGTGGAGAAGGAGTTGAAGATGCCGACGTAGGCACTGAAGGTGAGGAAGACAATGTAGAAGGAGGGGTTGCGCATCATGAGGCGCACAGACTGCATAATGGGCATCTTGGACACGGTGCTTGAGGCGGAGGGTGGTGTAGGAGGCGCTGCGGGGACCAAGAGGGATGGGACACATGCCACGGATGCAATGATGGATACCATGAGCACCGTGTCAGGGACAGTGCCTATGAGGGGGTTGATGATGGAGGCGATCTGGTCATGTTGTCAGCTGTGAACTAGAGGGGGCGTCCCAACGGGAGGAACAAGAAGAGACTTACAGCACCACCAAGAGGATTGGCCAAGCTTGCCAATGCTGTCGCTCCCATGCGCCCCTTCTCGGTAAACCACATGTCGCTGTATCGTGTTGGTGCGGCCAAGACGAAGGGCTGTGCCAGTCCGGTCAAGATTTGGCCTACCATGACCAGCTCGAAAACGCCATTGTCGCTGGCAACGGTTCCGGCATAGCGGATCCAGTTGCCTACGAGCAGCAGGACGGATGCAGCGATGATGGATTGCTTGGGGCCTTTGTGCAGCAGATAGACGGTCAGGGGGCACGAGACGGCGAAAGCGAGCAGGAAGCCGGTAGAGAGCCAGTTGATTGTGCTTTCCGGTACGTCGAAATAAAGTGATGACGTTGTGGAGATTGCAGCAAAAGTCAACCACTGTGTTTCATGTTAGTTTTGCTGTTCTTTTTTTATATCCATCTCGCTTGAACATGGGGGTTTTTGACCGCTGCTTCGTGCCTGCCCACTAGCAAACGCAGGATCTGCAGCGACAGGCCATGGCCAGCAGTGTGGAAGGAAGAGATTATCGTCATGTTCTCGTATATACTGCGGCAATAAAAAGATGAGATGGTTCGACTTACGTCCCAACTGATGACAATGTTGAGCAGCACCAACTGCCACAGACCGATCCAGCGCCTCTTGTAGACTCTGTACTGCGGCTGCTCCTGGCTGCTGCTCTGCCTCTTGCGCTGGATGCCAAAGTGCTTCTTCCAGCGAGGCCGCCAGCGGTTCTCGCCCTCTGCATCGATGTTGATTACCTCACCCCGTTCAAAGCCAGCCTTGTTGTGGGATGCGCCGCCTGCAGCATAGTCCTCAAAGTCGGCAGGGTCCTTGACGATGGTGTCGTAGGTCTGGGTGGGCGAGAGTTGCTCCATGTCGTAGTGAGGCTGCACGGTTGCTGTGAGTGGTGCAGGGCCCTCTTGTTGCTGCGAGATAGACATGCGTCCGTGGTGCTGAGATGACCTCAGAACGCTCCCGGGCAGCACAGATGGGGCATAAGCAAACCGGGTCGGGGGACGGGATATGACGAAATGCAGTAAGATGGCAGACGACAGAGGATGGATGCAGTTACAGCAATAACCACCACGGCCGGCGGGCTCTGGGCTGCAAGTAAGTAGTTTAATTGTCGATGGGGTTTATCGGTACGCGTGTCGCACCTGTCTGGCCCAAGATTGTCAAACTGCGCCCTGGCCGTGTGTGACGCTGCGCATATGAATTCTCGTGTGCCCATCCATGGCATGGCTTGGCTGCTGCCATTCGGCTAAACCATTCACGCTGCTAAATCGGGAAGGCGGCCGACGGGGGTGAAACGGCGCTAGCGCCCTTTGGTCGCCGTATCGCTGCCTCTGCCTCTTCGCCCTCGCTCGCTGCACCCTCCTCGCCTCCTGCACACGCACACAACCACCCGCCTCCAGGAGGGGCTCTCGCCCGCCGCATTCGCTGCCCGCCCGCGGTAACGCTGCTTTCGGACTCGGTAGGATCGCGCGGCGTCGACGTGCTGCGAGTGCGAGCGCGAGCCCAGCGGCTCCTTCACCACCTTGTACATATTGCTCGCTGACTCTCCGAGATGCATCCGGATCGCCCTTATGCACAAGCCTTTTCGGAAGACCTTGCGAAAAACATCTGTGGGCTTGATTCAATACCCTGACGTGCAGGGCTGTCCGGCACACACATACATGTGACGACGCACACGTGTACCACGGTCCAATCCCACTCCCAGCCCCCCACCACCCCCCGGCATCATTCCCATGACCGCAGCCCGGGGAAACCAAGGCGGATGGCCGACGACGACAACGCCTGAAAGCGACAAGAGCCACCGTCCGTCGCCTCGGGACAGCTGCTTGCGCCGCTGCTTCTTACACTACCAGCGCCAGACGGGTGCAACACACGACAAGCCACCCTCGACTTTGCGAGCCTCTTCGCAATCTCCCAGAAACTCTAACACGGCACCCGCGAACCCTACTACGCCTTCCTGGAATCGTGCATGGTTCAGGCCTTCTAGTCTCATGCGCTTGGCTTTGCATAGCCGCCTCCACTTGATGTCGTCAAGATAGTCCGTCTGGTTCACAAACTGCTCCCACTCTTGCATTCTGCGGACCGCGGCACCTCCGTCTGGTCCGCCACGCTGCATTGGCCGCGGCCGATGCGGCCCTCCTCATCCCGACTGCGCACCTTGCCTGCCGTTATTCATCTTACTCGACTCTCCGTCTGCTGTGTGTGTCTCGTGGAACCCACCGCTCCAACAAGCCTTCCTTGTCCACCCCAACACGGCGTATTCCGCGCCAACTCTCCCTGCTTGGCAGTTGAGCCAGTTCTTTTTCCCCGCAAGGCCCACACACCGCCGTCTGCACTCTATTAATCACCTGTCTACTGTGGTCTTTGCATAGTGCCGGTGCTGTCCCGATGGCCATCAGTTCTTTGCCATAGAAACCCATCTAGGTCCATAATGACACGAGCAGGGCGGCCAAGACGGTTCAACTGACATTCCCAGGCCCGTGATTACTATACTGGACATTGTAATCAAGTAACAAAATACGTCACGTGACAGGTCAGTGGATTTCCTTTGCCAATAGTACTTAGTTTTGCTTGATTCTGGAGCTTTCGACAAATACTAGTGCCCATGCGAGTGGCAATATCGTAGGCCACACTTGGTCCCAAGGTAATATATGACATGCATGCCTGATCTGCAGTACATGAGTTGGTCAGTTTGCGACTGTGCTGCTGGATCAAAATTAGTCTGTCTTTGTTGACAAGTAACATGACAACTCTGGCTGAAACTCATACAGGCTCTGACGTATGTTGTACGAAGCGTGCTGTTTGTCGCGTTGCAAATTTCCAACTGAATCGTATTGTGCCCCAGGTTTTGGTAGCCAGACGACATGGTCATATGCCTAGCGCTCAACTCCAACGGTAGAAATGGAGAATACTCCACTTGGCCCTCGGCTTTGTCAGCCCAGACTTGGCCATGAAAAAGTCGCGCATGGAAGAGAAGGACCGTGTGGCGCAATTGGAACCCCGATGCGCCTGTGCTACTGAAATTCATGCTCACCGGAAGAAAAGAAAAATTAAAAAGAAAAATGTTGGCAAGCCAGACCCAAAGGTAAAAACGTCATCTAGTCGCAAGAGGAGTATTGAATAAGGAAGGCCAAGACAGTGAGCGATCTGCATCCAGACTTGCCTCTTTAATCGGCCCAACGCACTACATCCTACCTAAAATCCACCACTAGAGCTCCCCGGTAAGCACAGCACACGATCGTGATCGACGTAAGCAAACATCAAACAATGCCAAGTTGCTCATTTTCAGATGCTCAGAAGGTCAGCGAAAAAAATTCTGCCCTGCAACTTCGTCTGCGCTTGCCTGCTCCAACGTCATGGCTCTTAGACATACAAGCTCAAAGGACCTCCTTTTAGACCCTGCCAATTTACAGTACAATACGCCCTTGCAACAATCAGGCACCAAAGGCACCAAAGACCAACAGGAGTGTACTTCCATCACTGCCACCAACTGCGAAGCCTGCTCATCACAATCTCAACAGTGTCATCCAGTCAGGAGGTAAATTGTACGCTTGGACTTTCCCCTGTTAGCCCTCTCGGCCTGAATATCAACCCGCTCTTGGCATCAAAAACTCGACTTAAACTTTCCACACGCTTTGGGTTGGCGACTACAACATGTACACGACCCGAGCGCGCCGTTGCAGACGATTGATAAGGCTGTAAAGGGATCGGCGCTAAGCCCTAAATTGCATACACACACTGGTCCTCGGATGATCCGCTGTGCAATCCGCGATATCGTCATCCTCTGAAATTCGTGCGGCAATATTTTTTATCTCCCCAGCGACACTTGTGCCGTCACTGTAGTAGTAAGCATCAGTCAGTATCGCTCTCCCTTTTACAACTCGGCCTCGGCTCTCGGCCTGTGGTAAAGTCTGAGCCTCGGGAGCCCCGCCCCCTTGATCATCGCACATGTCACACATGTCTTATTTTAGAACGTGGCCAATAGTGCGCAGCATCTACGTACTCAAGGCGCACGAAGCATTTGGGGCTATGTTGTTGAGCACTGATCTACATACGTGTCCCACGTATGTACATACTCACTAGACAGCGTCAACTGAGCACTATGATTGCGTCTGCTTCGCGCCTTTTAATTCTCTCCACGTATCTGAGATATTTATTTGATAATGCTTGATTGAAAAGGTAGTACAGTAGGACCAGATTTCTCCGGTACTTTGCTCTGTTCGCAATATACCGTCTCATCAATTATGCTTTTATATCCTACAATGATCTCCATTAGCTTATACTCAGACGCTAAAATAACTGGGTAATTACATCAAAATATATATATACCTCTGAGACTTGGCAGCCGGATACGAACGGGAAAAGGGTAGCGCTAGGAGATAAGGTAGCAGTACTATCGCGCGAGACGAAGCGCTCGTGAGCCAGACTAGCGGGCCTCGGGCATTATGTACTCTATAGTTGCAAGGGTGTGTACGGATCGCGCGGAAGGAACAGAGTCTTATAACCCCCTATAATTCCAGTGACTAGTATGCACATAATATGCTTAGTGTAAGACGCATAATTTATGACTATTGATACCTAGTCCTATCTATTCTTCTTACAGTTATTCTTAGTAGTAGTTAAGATGTATATTACTTCTGTTAATATACTAGTTGTGCAGGGATTGATAGATTGATACGTGTGGGTGCATCGAATTAAGAGAGAATTAATCAGATTACTCTTACTATTCACAGGATTCGAATCTATCGAAACATATAGACATACCAAGCATAAGGTATCCAGTCGCTGATCACCACGTTGCCGACCCACTGGTACATCTGACCAAGTACTTCTAATAGTCACTTGATTGGGTGGTGCTGGATACTTGGTCCATACTGTGACAGTAGTTTATTCCAATATAAAACAAGGTATTACGTCTGCGCACCAATGTATATTATTCTATGCCCGGTAGCTATGTAGTAGAACGCTGGTTACTCGTGCCTTCTACTTACATTAGCCAAGGGCACTGATCTAAGCCTCTGATAGAAGTTGGAGATTTGTAACGGCGCAGGCAAGACTACTCGGGTCGGTATCGGCAGTAGTGTCACTCAGAGGCATATGGGAGTGCGTGGGACATCAAAAGAGCCTTGATTCGGGTAGCCACCTATAGGCCTTGTACGAAAGGATATCAAAAATCTATCGAACTATCTACTAGACGTGTCTTGTTATACATCTTGCTAAGGAGGGCGGTGGATCGTTACGCCGATCCGGTTCCGGATTGGGTATGACGCTTGGCAGGATAGTAACGACGTTACAAGATTGTTACTATAATATATAGTTGTAGTAGAGAAGATTAATCTTAGGAATCAAGTAGGAAATGAATCGTGGTATAGGCTAGCCTCAGAGCGGTGCTGTAATAAGCGTTAATGAGAATGTTTACAATCTCGTAGGTATCGTCTATCTCTTAATGTGGCTTCTTATCTCGCCTACTCGCTCCATCTTCAGCTCCGAACCTTTCCTATAGCGCTGTTGAGGATTAGGCTACGAATACTCCTATAAGTACGTAGGAAGATTATTCTCTTATACTACTTTCAAGTAATGCATTACCTTTTAGCACCTCACAGTCTTCTAATAGGGATTGATCCATAACGAAGGCCTCTATTTCTACCTCTAGGCATAGGCGTAGCTTAAAATCTTTATAAATCATTGAATTACAGGTAATACTATCCCTAAGAAGCAAAGATATAAAGGTCGTGTTGATGTGAAATTTCTCCAGGTTACTGAGAGCTCCGTGAGCTTCTAGTAAGCCTTTATGGATCTTCACTTCTGCAATAATAGTTTGTCTATACATAGAAGCTAGGAATGAAAATCAAGTGGGATAATTTGTAAATTTGTGCCCTAATTTACAAACCTAATATGTAGTGAAAGCCTAATGAACCTTATTAATTTATCGTTCATATATGATACCCAAGATTAAATCGTGACAGATAAGAAATATGTAGGCTTTTACATTAATTGCACTAATTTACAAGATTCAAGACTTATTGAAATCGAGTAAGATTGAGATTTTTTGATTTAAAACGCAGTATTCTATGTAACGGGAAAAAAGGATATAAGCAGATGTTCGAGGAGTTAGATGATAGTAACAAAAAAAAGAGGATGATCAGCCTCTAGGCTGTGAGTGAGCCTTCTACGAACATGTTATACCTTCACCAGCAAATCTATAACAGTGCAGAGGCTTGCCGCCTAGGTTCATCTACAGCTGGTGATGCTGCGACCTTGACTTCCTTGGAAATGAAAGACAGCATGTAAGCTTACTCTACCAACCAGGAACCTTTTGAAAATTAAGTTCCCAATTTTCAAGGATCTTGAACAATGTCAAGGCAAAGTCATCTCCAATCTCTTTACCATCATCAGAGCCACTCTCGGGATCAAGAGGAGTGAATTCATAGCGCCCAATAAGACCAGCAACCAAGCAGAGCAGCTCATCCCTAGCATACTGTTCCCCAACACATCGACGCGGACCACCGCCGAAGGTGAGGAATGAATATGTATTGCTAGCGCCCCCATTAGAACTATTAAGCCACCTCTCTGGCGAAAAGGAACGAGATTCTGGACCCCAATACACAGGGTCACGATTAAGAACCCATGGGGAGAATACGACCGCTGTTCCCTTGGGGATCGACACTCCGGCTATGGTGGCTGGCTCGATGCATTCTCGCCACAGCAACGTGTTGATCGAATGGAAACGAAGAATCTCTTGGACTACAGCGTTCAGATATTCCAGATTGTGGAACTGCAAACTGCTGACAGAATCTTCGGATGCGCTGTAAGGAGATGCGATGTTCTTTCTGATTTCGTCACGGAGGCGTGTTTGCACATCCACATGGCGCGAAAGCAGATGAATCGCCCAGCAGGCAGTCGCTGCAACTGTCTCGGTTCCAGCCGCGAAAAAATGGACCGTTTGCTCCACGAGGTCCTTGTGCGAAAAGTGGCTTGATTTCATGAGCAAACTGAGCATGTCTTCATCCTTGGAAACTTTCTGATCTTTGCTGCCGCAGCAGCTACGCTCATGGCTAGTGACGATGTCCTCGGCGGTCTCGCGCACTAACTTCATGATCCCAGAGATAGTCTTCACTGCAGGGATGGGAAGTCTTTAAGCGATGTTGGTACCGATGAGGGATGCTGCTTCCAAGGTGAGTTGACCTCGCTTTGTTGTCTTGAACATGTGGATGTAGGCGCGGCCGAACTTTGACTTAGGATCTTTCGACTGTGTAGGGCCCTGCGATCTGGGACGTCCCATGTTTTTGGTGGTGTTGAAAGCAACATTGTATCCAAAGTATCCGAACATGTCGATGCTTGCAGCTGAGACAAGGTGTAGGATACTGGTGGTGCCAACCGTGGTAGTGTTGATATCAATGTCAGCCACGCAAGGTGCTGTGAGCTTGCTCTGCTTGGGGAGCGCTTAAAGTGCCTCGACCGTACTTCTCCACAGAGAAGGAAACCATGTCTTCATCATGGTAGGGCTGAATGCAGGATTGAATCTCTTGCGAGCTTCCTTGTGCACCTTTCCTTCTTGGATCAGTAGACCTTCTCCCGAAATGTTGTTTGCCAAGGTCCACTGAAGCTGAGGTTTGATGAACCGGTATGCATTGGTTGTCAAAAGGTCTCTTGCAGCCTCCGGGCTGGCAACGAAGATACGTTCGCGGTTGAAGATACCATAGTATCGAATGAGGCCTTTGTGTGGAAGTTCGTCGACCCATTTCTCAATCTCAGATACTCTGGGCTCGTGGATGAGCCTGCACCAGACCGGACCTTGATTAGGGGCCGGCAGGTGGGGAAATTGGCTTGTGAGATGTGCAGTGAACAAACGAAGGAGCGAGTAAAGGCATATGCCTACTGCAAGAAGGATCAGAAGACCAGATAATGGCAAAGGTCTGGTTGAAAAGATTGAAGAATACATCATGTCTGTAAGTTCTGTCTTGTTTGCAGCTGTGTCTTCACCCAGATAATGGGGATATTTAACCTGAATTTTAAGGAGGGCCATAAATAATGCAAGATGCTCGGCAAGTGGCACACACCCTGAGGTTTTACCGTGAGGTTGTGCCGTCTCACTCAAGTGCCGTGACATGATTCTATAAGCACTAAACCTACCTTCACTGTAACCAGTCTATATGCAGCATAGATTATGCCGGTATTGCTTGGATTAACAGGCCTTCTCTGTCGGTCCGGGGGTGTGGTGTTGTAAAAGGTATTTCGGCATTTCGCTCGAATATCCCCACTTCTATGAATTAGCTGTGAGCCTACAAATTGATTACACAGTACGTGCGGCTCACACGAGGATGGATAAAAGCCGATATCGTTTCTAAAATTTCGAAAAAGCTGTCTGTGTTCTCAATCCAATTAAATCGGTTACTTTCAAGAAAGGCCCCCCCTCCCCCACTCGGTTCTGTCCAATTGTAGGTTAATGCTTGTACCCTTTGTGCTCTTGCACCCCCTTACTATGCTGCAGGAGCTTCAACTAGCCTCAGAGAGTATAAAAAACTATTCGCATTTGCCGCATACAAAATCGAGGTATTATCTATCCTCGCAATGGAGCATTCCTACAAAAGTAACTCTGGCGACTCGACAAAGCCTGGACCCTGCTCCGGGGACCCCACAATCCCCGGGTCCCGTTGTGGGGACTCAACAAAACCAGGGTCTCCCTTGGACCCTGAAATAGGAGACACCAAGCTCGGACCCGAGAAATTTACCCTTGTGGACTGGGAAGGCCCTAATGATCCCACCAAGCCCGTTAATTGGTCCTTTACGAGGAAATGGTCCATTGTCGTCACCACTTCGCTTTGCACTTTCATGGTATCCTTCGGTAGTAGTGTCTACTCAGCCGCTATCTCCCAAGTGCAACAACAACTCCATGTCTCGGCGACTACCGCACGGCTAGGAATTTCCTTGTGCGTACTGGGGTTCGCTTTTGGGCCCTTGATATGGGGTCCTGCATCTGAATTGTATGGGAAGACCCGGCCCTTATGGATTGGATACTTTGGTTTCTGCTTATGCCAGATACCCTGTGCACTCTCCACGGACATCTACATGCTCCTGGTCTTTCGCTTGCTGGCAGGTTTGGCGGGATCCGCGATGCTAGCTATCTTGGGAGGTATGTACGTCGATATCTTGCTACACCCAACAGAGCGCGGTATCTCTACAGCTATCTTCAGCCTCGGAACGTTTTGCGGTCCTGCAGCCGGTCCAATTATCGGTAATCTCTTAACGGTAAAGCTCAACTGGAGATGGACAGCTTGGATCACATTCATTGGATCATTGGTCTTTGGAGCTCTCGCATTTTCGGTCACTGGCGAGACATCCGAGGCCGTCATTCTAAGGTGGAAAACCCAGAGACTCTACAAGGATGCACAAAACGATCAGATTCGTGCACAGATCAAAGACTCCAACCCGAATCTTTCTATCTTCGTTCGAAAGTATTTGACGAAGCCAGTCAAGATGTTCTTTTGGGAACCGATCGTGAGTGTACTCCAATTCGAAGTTTATGAACAACACTAAAGTCATGTATAGCTAGTCTTCTTCACAGCATATATGAGCCTCGTCTATGGGATTATTTACTTGACATTCACACTGTATCCAATTGCCTTCGTTGGATATCGCGGATGGGATCCAATCAAAGGAAGTCTGCCCTTCCTCGGTATATTATTGGGTGTGATCCTGGCTTGTGTTCAACTAGCCTTTCACAGTATCTGTTATGTGGGACCCAAATTCGCGCAAACTCAGCACCACGTGGCAGAAAGGAGGTTACCTCCAATGATTCTCGGATCATTTCTTCTACCTGCAGGCTAGTGAACCCCTGTCAATGCTTGCACACTACTGACGAGTAAGCTAGGGATTTTCTGGTTTAGCTGGACATCCGACCCACATTTCTCGTGGGTTCCTCAAGTACTTTCGGGTGTCTTCATTGGCTGTGGCTCAATTCTAGTCTTTATGTCTGGTGTTGTTTACCTAATCGAGGTATACCTTGCGCATTCAAACAGTGCGTTGGCCGTCAACAATCTTGTACGCTCAGCTTTTGCAGCATCTTTTCCCCTTTTCACAATAGAACTCCTGATAAAATCTGGGATCAGAGTAGGAGGCTCTATCTTGGGTGGTATCTGCGTGGCTCTCATTCCTTTCCCACTGATTTTTTGGGCGCTTGGTCATAGGATCAGAGATTGGTCTAAGTTTGCGGTCTATGAGTCCAAATGATCGAAAATCGCCCTATCTAGAAGCTTGGCTAGAAACAAGACATATGGAGGATTCAGAATATGCGCAATACACTGATGCAATGTTCTTGGTGAGATCTGAGCCAAGCACCAAATATTTGGCAACTGGGAGCAGGTGAACAAGATTGGACCTTGCACAGGACCGATTGTACTACTAGTAACAAAGAGTGTTCGAGCTATCGACACCAGGTTCAACCACCAATAGATATCTATCACAGACAGCGTGTTTGATAACTAATACTAGGACTTTAAATTTTATGAAACTGTTCCAGGTTGTACATACTTGGATGGTTTTACATTGCGTGGTTTTTTTTCTACTTATGCGCTAAGGCATGAAGGAGATCGACCAGTCATTTCCTTAGCGCTAACGAAATATCTCACACCAGGAGTGATTGCAAGCAACCACCCTGACTCACATGATACTATGTTATTGATGATTATTTCTCATGATCAAAGCTTTAGTAGCCTGGCTCTTGCGATACCTCGTTAACGCGCGCACGCTAGCATCTTATCTTACAGTTTGCATAATAACTAGTGGTAAGCTAATTATTACGCTAATAGCATAAGGAAGGTTTGCAGAAATATAAATTCCCGCGTTCGGGATCTATATACGTAGCAAAAGGGTTTGTGCATGTTATTTAACCATAGACCCCTAGCGCGTTACAAACCATTCAAGTCTATGTCAGCGCACTAGCCTGAGATAGCTAGTGGTGTCATTTCGTGTTGCGGATCCATTATCAAGTTCTAGTTCCTCATTTACCATGCTAAGCTTTATCAGCCTAGGTTAAGCCTTGCATTACTATCAGAATATGTTTTACTAACGGGATACTAGAAGAGGTATAGTCTTATAGTCAGCTGAGCGGGGCTCTCTAGAACTCAGGTTCTTTCGTATGACTTAGGCTTATCCACTTCTTTGCTAACACAGCCTGCTGTATCAACTTAGTATCCAATGTGTAAGATAATTATATCTAACATCATAGTTTCATAAACCTCATGAGTATTTTCTTTAAGCTAGAAGCTTGATAGTGTAGAGAATCAGCCCTGCCATAACGCAAATTCTTTATAATTTCTACTTCCAAATATCAAGAAACCTTGTCAGTCACTTCACATCAATACTAAGGCTGACAGCTATCGATATCAGGAGCCGTGCCTCTAACGAACGCAATTAGGACCGTTCATTACCTACTCTTCTTTAGCAGTGTGTTTTGGGGCACGACAGGTGACCGAGCAGCAAAAGATAAAGGTTGAGATGGCGATTAATCAGGTAGAGCTTTCGTGAGGCTAACTGCATGTAGAGGGTGCTAATAACTAGAAGAATATGGTATTTTTAGGATAATGAGAGAATAGCAGACAAGGAACTGACTTAGTATGCTAGAGGGTTAGACAACTAAGCCTTTCTATTATTATCTACACTAATGCAGTTAAGCTTTACGATAGCACTATTTTCTCTGTAACGATATTTCACAGCCCTAATCTATTACGGTCAATAAGGTGTTTTGATATCTTTGAAGCAGGTAGTGACTATAAGAGGCGGGCGAGCTGAGTGGAGCGCGCCACCGCTATCTCCTCACCAAGGAAGCAGTGTAAAAGACAATTAGAAATACTAATTGTTTTTTTTTGGTTGGTATTTGAGGTCCTAAATTCTGTTGATTGATACTCATACGAAGCCCTGGACTATTAAACGCCAGCCTAGTATAGTTGTCAGAAGCTAAGCTCTATGCTACCAAGCTACTGTAACTAAAAAGGTACAACTAATTAGCAGAATGCTAATTACTGGACATGGAATTGTATATGGGAACGCAGGCCTGGCAATAGCTGCTAGGCCACTAGAATTCCCACCTTTATGTATAACACAACATGAACGGCGTAGGTTATACCTAAAACTTGGTCAAGGAACAAGTATAGTAGGAAAGGTTCAGCAACAAAAAACCAGTGGTAAGACCGGAAAAGGAGATACACAACTCACACCTGTATATACCTTCAAGGCTCTACATATTAACTTCAACGCCTATATAGGTTACATTCTAAAGTTACTTTTTACGTATAAGGAGAACACTGAATCTTTGCACTTTTATATCATTCTGTAGTACAACGCTCTACAGCTAAAATCTCAACCCGCTCAACAGATGTATATAGCTTTCAGTAACGTGTTTGAATATCACGCCGTAATATAAGGGCGTGAAGTTATATTCTTCCCATTTTATACCTGCAAGTATAGAGTTTTCCTAGCTATGCAAGCATCAAGGAATACTACAGAGCGACCAAGTCTTCTTTACAACCACGAAGGATTGCAACAAATGCGATTATTGCATTTAGACCACTTTACTATAGCAAGTTTAGCACCTTAGGAGCAGATGCGATGTTAGTAGTTATGATATTGTTGGGATTAATAGCTCCAGAACAGTATTTCACATGATTGCTACATTGGAACATTGGCTTCTACATAAAACAAGTAGCTCAAACGCACACTATACGAGCCATTGAGTTAGGATGCATAAAGCAAAATGTGGAAACAAAGGGAATATTACCAAATGAGTTCAGTAAGCTGTCTCTACAGATGCATTCAGCGTTGACAATGCAAGTGTGCTGAAGCAGAAGCTATATGGAATTTTGCAGATTCCCATGGTTCAGAGCTGATTTATTGATTTCCCGTCGATCTGAATATCGAATTTATCGGCATCAGCTATCGGCAATGGTTTTGGTAGTGATGCGCAGCAGAAGCCTGTTGGCACCGGAGGCACGCGGATGGTACTACATCTACCGAGAAAGCGGAAGGCACTATGAACATCAGACATGTGTGTGTGCGTAATCACCGCTTAGGGGGTCTGTTTGGTCGAACTCTATTTTCTGTTCCGATAGCCACATTTAGGCTCCGTTTGGAAAACGGAGATAGCAACAGCACCGTGCTTGGTGAAAGGAATGACTTGAATTTATGGGCTGAGGCCTTGTCCCACCAGGATAGCATGGATACAAGAAAGGCTTGCTTAGTGCTTACTTAACCTAGATATTCATTATTTTAAGCAAAAAACTGCAAGATTGAAGAATGGTACTCTCCGAGGTGCCATTCTGTTTGGAAAGCGGCATTCGCTGACATAATCACGCTAAACCCTCTAGTTTTGTGCATTACGGCCGCGCTAGATAGTAGCCGCTAAGCTCGAAACGGGCTCAAAAAACGGAGACGGAGATGGTGACGGAGTGATTGAACAGGCCCTTAATTCAGGGTTTTTCCTCCGCCTTTGCTGGGGTGACAGACAGGACGGATTTTCTCGGGCACACCACAGATTAGCGACGGTTTTAGTGCTGAGTAGTTTAGGCTGCATGTTTGCGTGCTGACTGTATGTATCTGTACACGGAATACATTTGTGCCATCACCACCATCACTACCCTAAGTATGGAATCTTACTTTCCTATGGTGCTACATACTTACCGTCTTTTCTGCCTTGAAGTTTGTACCATCCCTAACTCCAATGTAGAGCTGCAGTGGACTAGTGCAGCCAACCTTTCGATCTAGCAACATCTGCTAACCGGAATTGCGTAAAGCGCGAGTGGTGTTCGTAAAGGCAGCTCCTGAAAGACCGGTACAGCCGGATATGGAGCTAAGCAGCCACCTCACCATAACGCAAAGCCATCCAAAAGCAAAGCGCTATGCCCTCCTTTACACATACCCAAGGCTTCAAGGAAATACCTTACATCAGAAATAGAAAGGCTACATCATCCTTCAAGCTTAATTCATATACGGAATATCGCTGTTATAGTGGGCGACAGCCTATCGTTCACTTTGTCTGGTCTGACCAGTCTGCCGAGGCGGTGGCTCAGCACAAGCACAGGGAATTTTGCGGTATTTTTCTGTTCTTCATCAAACTTGATTTATGGTGCCGAGAATTAATAGTGTGAGGGACGTAACCAGTCTCCGTACATCATGTCATGTGTGCAGATGCAGGGAGCTGGAAAAAAGTGGACATCAGAAAGAAGCATGGGAAAGACTCAAGTTACCTGAGCCATGGTCTCAGGTACATATGTGGACGAAACTGTTCGGGGCCGGGAGGGAAATATATCCGGTAAAAGATCGGCATCTCACCCAACAAAGACTCAAGCGGACCGTGCAGACTGCACGCACGGCAATATGCGGAAAAGCGCCAAACAAGACGCATGGCCGAAATGCCGAAGGGGCTCTCTGGATGCTTACGGTAAATGTTTCCATACGGACTGGGCATCAGTTGGACGCGGGTATCGGGCTCTTACCGTTGCTCTTGCACAGACAGTGTTTCTTTTTTGGTAGTATTAGTGGGGCATCACGGTCCAGGGCTGCGAAACCTTTGGCGGAAGGTCATAGTTTTGGACAATACGAGAATTAGTCCGGACGGGCGATCGACGTCAAAGAGGCACAAGATCTGGCCAGATGATATGTGAACTTGCATGTACCCTTGGCAAACCAGCACAGAGCATCGTTGCGAGATGGCTTGCACTTGATCAGTATTGGCCCAACGGGTATCAATGCTTCTAGTCTGATACCCCTTGCCGAAAACCCGACTCTAGTTCTTCAAAAACCTCGAGGTATTCACAGCTCCGTTGAAATCCTTGTTTGCTTCATTCCTTGTCCATCCAATCAGTTGGTGATTCTCTGGTCTGTACGGCAGTTGGGAATTGCATACACCTTAATAGTCTCTTCTTTTCTTTGCTGATGTGTGTATGCGTAAGCCTGACAGTATCGATTTTCCTCCAAAAATAACGGTCCGACCTCGTGGTGAAACGACATGGTAGAAAGGTGTGACAGCACGGAGATGTACATGCATCCTGTGCTTTATTCTGATATTCGTGGTTTCAACGAGGAACCAGGTCAAGCCATGGACTGGGCGGTGATCCAGGAGGGCTCACCGTCAAGTGGTGTCGGTCTCCTAAGTATAAGTATCATCCCATTTTCTTGAAAAGAAGATGGGTATCTCTCAACTACTATCTTTGCATACAATACAGTAGACGCATCGTTTACAATCAGTTTTATCATAATATCAACCCCTTCTTCTCTTTGAGATGTTGGAAAATGTCCTTCCACATCTGTATCCGTGGCATGCCTTGTCAACAGTGCTGGTTTCGCTGTTCATTTACCAGGCAGCGAAGATGATCTACAATGCCCACGTGGATACTTTACGAAGTATACCCGGACCATGGCTCAGCTCCGCCTCCTCTGTCTGGATACGGTGGCAGAGATGGCACGGTAGGCTGTCCCTGGAAGCCGACAAGCTCATGTCGAAGTACGGTCCCATTGTCCGAATTGCACCAAACCTGGTCATTCTCAGCGACCCCGAAGCTGTAGAGAAAGTCTTTGTGAGAAAAGATTTGGACACTTCGCCGACGTCAATTCGTGCCCTACGTGTTGGCGGCCATGATTGGACTGTCACTTACCCTCAACATGACATAGCGCGACAGCGACGACATTCAGTCATGATTGCGACCACAACCAAGAACCTCAAGATCGCACAGTATTTTTATCAACGTTATTGAAACCATGGTGCGAGATCTTGGTGCTTCGGACGGCAAAAGATCGGAAGACATTGTCCACCACCTCCGCATCTGCACACTAAAAAACTCGCAAATAATCATGGGTGGCCAGGCAGTCGACCTCGACACCAAGGGCTTTCCCCGTGTGGTCGGCGAGTACAACTTCCCCGTCGTGTGGCGTCTCTGTCTGCCATCTTGGCTGTTCGAATGGCTGCAGTACGTCCCTATTTTTAGTCACGCATGCTTCCGCGTGCAGTCGAGCGATAGGCTTTTCGAGCTCGGTGAAGAATTATGCCGCCAAGCTGCCGATACACAATCTAACTCTGACATGGATTCCAATGTGCACACTCTTTTCACGGACAATAGCGCAAAGTATCCCACACAGGCCTGGACGAATCCAGAACTCGCCGCCGAGATGGCAGGCCAGGTTCTTGCGGCTACAGAGACGACTTCGTCAGCGCTAGCCTTCATCTATTACGAGTTGGCGAAGAACCAGCAGTTGCAGAAGGAATTATACAAGGAAGTCGTTGCGCATGAAGGATACGAAGATCTGGACTCTCTAAAGTTGCTCGACGCCTGCATCATGGAGGGTTTGCGTTTCCGACCCCCTGTGGCTCTGACTGGAAGTCGCATGGTGCCCAAAGGAGGCCTCAACGTGTTGGGTTATTATCTTCCAGAGGGCACCGTCTTGACAACGCAGTCTCTGTCCATGAGCCGCCAGCGACCTGATCTTTTCCCTGACTACGATGCCTACAACCCTCTTCGCTGGATGGGTGAAGATGATGAATTCAGCGCTGAGAGGCGCCGTCTTGTTGTGCCATTCGGGGTGGGTGCGAGGAGGTGTCCGGGCGGAAACATGGCTACCTATCAGATGCGGCTTATTCTGGTTGCGACATTCAGGGCATTCAAGATTTCACTGGCGCCGGAGACTACTCCGGAGGTGATGGCTCCATTTGAGGCTAATGGGTATCGATCTAGGCATGACCGCTGCGATTTGGTCTTTACCCCACACAAGGTCTGAACGATAAAGGTCAGAAAAAGATGTACTGGTACTTTTGTTTCTATTCTTTGCCTGGTTATAGTTTTCGTCCTTGAATCAATCCACTTTGTAACATCACCTCTCCTCGTCATCGTCGTCATCTTCATGCGTTGGCGGCGGAAGTGGAATACTGAAATCTTCTAGACTCGCCCACTGACTACTCTTACATCCACCAGCCGCCGGGGTCATTGATGTAACGGGACTGCTCCATCCCTCCATACCGGCTTTCTCGGGACTAGGGAAACTGCTTGGTATGAAGAGAGGCGGGGGTTTACTTGGCGAAATGACAGGTTGAGAGCTTGCGATGCGGTGGGGCGTCGTGTGTGTGCTTGAGAAATGTTGGGCTCGCTGTTTGCGGGGCGTGCGCTGGGTGATTTCGTCGATAGTAGTGGCTTGGCTTGGTCCATAGCATGATGGTTGGTGTTGTGGTAGCCGATCTGCAGCTGGAGCTTGCCGTGGGCGCGGCGTGGCATTGTAGCTGTGTGCATCGGGTACGGCACGCACGCTCGAAGACTCGGATAGTCGGGTGTGCACGTACTGTGAGTATGAAAGCCATTCGTCCTGGAGTTGCTGCTCTGCTTTGCTTGTATGCGACTGTTGCGACTCGTGCTGCAGAGAGGGAGAGCGCGGGACCTGAATGAGTTCGCCATCGAGGTCTGCAGATTGCTGGATGTTGGTTGCTGTGGAATGTGGACGAGGTTGTCCAGTCCAATTTGGAGTTGTATCTTCTTCGGGTCTATTATCTTCGTCGGCAGGATCGTGCTTTATGACCATAGGCATCGAAGGGAACGTGTCCTGGCTATCAGCCCCAGGAACCGGGGGCGATGAACGATATTGCTCCGGTTCCGTCTTAATGGCAATGTCACCTTCAACTGGACTCTGCTGGTGCGAGAATGGCAATAAGACAGCAGGTACTTCTGGAAAGTCCTCGTTGTCCTCGTCTTCGCTTTCTGGCTCTTGCTTAATCTTGATTAGTCCATCGTCTTGAGCTGAATGCTCTTCTCGGACATCCTGCTTCTGTTGGCCCTTTGGTTGCATATGAGGTTCTCCCAATTCCGGGGAAGGTTTATTAGTACCTCGAAGCTCAGGTAAACTTTCAGACTCTTGCGGGGACTCTGGCCAGGCAGTATGACTAGTCCCGGTGGCATCGCCGCCCGCTCGATCGGTGCGGTCAAGCAACAACCGGGGATATCCACTGTCATCTTTGCGAGGCTTCACTCCCCGTAGATTATTGTTGGGTATCTGCCCAGGCTGCTCAGTGGAGGATGCATCTTCTTCAATGATATCTTCATCTTCATCTTCAGAATCCTGGATCGTACTCTCAAACCTCTTCAGTTTTGGAGGTTGTATGGGAGTTTTCGACAGTGTCTTGAAAGTCACCTGCTTCCTTTTCGAAGGGGTCTCCGAAGCGTTGATAGAATATCCCGAGCATTCTTTGAGCGGTGACCGGTTTGACTTATAAGGCGTGACCCGGATAGAGAGGGGCGAGTCTGCTGGCGATTGCGACGATGGTATCTCGCGGATACGTCGCTTCTCTGGGGTAGACAACAGGCTAAACCGGGCCTTATTCGACTTTTTTGACTTTTGTGCCTTCGCGTTCCTTCGATTCGTCCTTTCTGATCTTCTGGGAAGAGCTTCAATAAACTGGGTTGGCTTGTAGGTCTTCTCACAGTCATCTTCCACGGTTTCAAAGTCTGCCCTGGGGTCCTTATTTTTGCTCGACGCTGAGTTCATGCCCTCCTCGACTTGCCCAGAAGTGGGTACTTCACCGCGGCCGTCCTCTGTCTGATACAGCCCCTGCCGCGCGAGTCGGTGTGCCACAGCATCGCCATAAGCCTGACCATCACTATCCTCGGCTTCAACGTCACTCACACCCTCATCCAAGTTCTCATGTGACATAGCCTCTAGTTTGCGCATTCCGGGTACCATTTGAGTCAATGTTCGCTGTTTTCCATCCGTGCTTCCTTTGCCACTTTTGTTTTTGCCACTCCAACTCAAGCGAGCGCTACGTTTGACGGGCTTAAACTCCAGCTCCTTTACACCTGGGAGAGGCCTCCGCCCATCCACCAATTGCGTCATGGTCGACTGTCTTTTCTTCGCGCGCCCTCTATCCACAGTATTCGCTCTGTCCAATTCATCGTTGGGCTCAGCATTGACGCGCCGTGTGCGACGATAGCTCTTTGACGAAACAGTCTTACAATGACGCTTAGATGTGTGTATAATCGAATCTTCGGTTTCGCTATTTTGTTCTTCGTGCGTGATACTGCTATTTCGCTTCCTGCCCTTTTGCCTGATTGTCTTCGTGGTATCTTGCTTGTCCTCTTGGTGTGCCTGCCCCACATCTGACGAACTTCTCTCGTTCAAATCATCCTCTAAATCGGTATCCAGACTCTCATCATCCTCATCCGAGTTGCTTACAACCCCTGTTCGCTGCCTCTTCATCTTATCCGGCAAAAACACCATTTGCCGCTTTCCTTCTCCATAGCGTACCGGTGTAGAGGGCCGGCGCGCCGTCTTGCTCTTGTGGGGAAAGTATATTTGCTGCGGCACCTTTTTCGAATAGTAGACCTTGAATTCGGCGTCTCGATTGCTTGTTCGTGTGCGAGGCGTCATGGCGTAATGTATGGGTTAACCGATAAGTAGGAAGGGTTGGTCGCTAAAGTGCTGAAGACGCGACGCGTTGAGGGGCCACTAGCGCGAAATGATGCCTGGCCATCACCATGCGTCATCGCCACGCTCACGTGACGATGACTACACGTCTGCATCACGTGAGCATAAATCAATATCTCAAACAGCATTCTAGGATCTGATATGGCTTACAATGCGTATTATTATTATTATTATTATTATTATTATTATTATTATTATTATTATTATTCCATTAGAGTCTATCTGCAGTCAGTGACTATGTAAGACTTTGGCCAGAGGCCGTTCTAGATACAATTTGTTTAAAGTGAGAGTGTTCTCTGTATAGTACTGCTATTGTGCTGCGGTTTAGTCGCTTCTAGCTGCGCTTAAAGCAGACTCCAGTTGCTGAAGAGCATTTTAGTAAACAGGAAGAGATGTTAGACAGCAGGGCTGTCTTCCAGCGAGCTCTTTTAGGGCTAAGGAAAGTAACTTAAGAAAGTTTGTTAGTTATTATTAGTTTGAGGTAGTGTCTCTCTGTTCTCGCTTATTTTTAGTTATCTTGTTCTTGGCCTAGATGCCAGCCTCTAGTCCCTACTCTAGTTTTAGCAATGAAAGCTAAAGTCGCCTCTCTGCCTTTGCTAGTGTGGAGGAGTTAGTTGGATTGTTAGGTAGTTCTCGCGAAAGAGTTGCTTTTTAGCGCTTGCCTTTTCTGTGTTGTAGGTGCCAG